ACGTCTGCAGAACAACAAACCAGCTCGGCGAGCCAACCAACCACAACTTATTAATCTAGCCAATATGGTGCAACAGTCAACAAAGCTTTCAGCATTGCAGTTAAGCAGCCAAACACTACAAGTCAGAACTTGTAATCCATTTTATAGTGTTTTGGTCAGTTCCCATCTTGGTTTAATTTCAGTTTAACTGAAATAAAGTGCAGGAGGTGGTGCACAGAAGAGCCACAAGTCCAATTTCTGTGTTGGAGGACTAAATTATGAAGAAAAATTTGGGCTTTTCAGTCCTTCAGCAGGAATGAGATGTGATCTTATAGAGATATTTAAATAAATCAAGAAATGAAAGGCGCAAGTGAAATATTATTTAAAATTACTTTTCAAAAGTAGGTCTGAGGACAATGAATTAGTTTAAAGTAGTAAAGTTTTTGATTGATCACTACAAGAATGGAGTTTCATATATACTGGGCAAAATATCTCAAACCATTGAAGGGGAATTTTCTGCATGGATGAATTAAGATGAATGAAATTGTATTCAACGTGCATGATGCATTTCCATTCATCATACAGGATGAACTATGTTTTGGATACTACTGTGTTCCATATGTTCCACACCCTATAATTCATTCTTTGCTTGAAAGACAAGGTAGTAAAGGACAGAACAAATATGAAAGAAGACCTTGAAATTTCATTCAGTCTCTATGAAAAAGCTACTTTGAACATTATAGGTTGAAAGAACATAGAGGCAATACAGAAAGCTGAAGTTCAAAACTATCACTATCCTGTTTTTATTACATCTTTCACAAGGGGATATTGATAGCACAAAATCAGCTCGTAAAATGCAATTGCTTAATGAAGGTATCTCTTCAAACATGGTAACAATGTCTATATTTTAGGTGTAGAAAAGCGGATTACCCAATGCTGCAGGTGGGCCTGAGCAATCTAACACTGTGCAATATGCCTCATCACTTACACTGCCTGTTCCAAATGCCAGCACAGCTACACCCACATCAGAAGAGAACAGCAAGTTCCACTGTGAAAGGAGAGGAAGATCAGTGGTGTTGGCAGCAATACTATCGGAACCAGCTGGCAAGAAGGCCAAGTCATTTCCTTCCTCAGTTGTAGCGATTAAATATTAATATCTCACAGGGTCTTATTATAAAAACATAAAAGACAACCAATATATAAACAGAGATGCTTTTGTGAGTTACTTGACTCTAAACAAAATATATAAGAAAGAATATACCTTTATATTATGTACATTTATTTATATAACATTATATGTTCTAAATACATAGCATACATTGTCTTTTGGGACATCTTTTACACCGAATTAATTACTTTTGAAGTATAATCACTGTTGTGTTGCATTTACTGCAGCAGTCAATCTATACACTAGAAGCTCTCCAAAAAAAGTGAGAGAAATGACCAGTTAATGTCCTTCATGCTGTTGGTTGAGGAATGAATATTGGCTGGAAAACTGGGAGAACATCCTGCTCTTGTTTAAAAAGTGACCAGAGAGCAGTTATTCCTCTAAAGATCAATATGGGTCAGCAGTAACCAAAAATACCTCATGGTTTAAGCATGAAATTGTTTCAAAATGGAATTACATTATAATTTTGAAGGTACTGTCTTCTACAAATTAAATTCAACAGGTCTAATTGGAAGGTTGCAGTGCGTACAGAATTTTGACAATTTAGATCACGTGTTAGGGATACATTTGCTCATGTAGCACCACTTTGAGTAACACATTGCAAATTTACATCGATTCCCCAAGGTCAGATAAACAAGCTGCTGCCTTCATAGTGTTTATTCATCACTATATTTGAAGAATGCTGCACAGATCAGACAGGTAGTGGGTCAGAGCATTGCCTGCCTCCGTGTATTTGACATTTGGCTTGGAGCGGCACTATGTAAGTATATCTTTGGCATGCTGTGTTGTTTTTTGAGATTGTTTTAATGGACCACAGCTAAAAACGTAAACAATTAGAAATGGATCATTTTGTACTTCCAGGTCCGATCCAGTATAAGGTAAATGCAAGATGTAATTCCATATGTTTCCCAACAATGTTGCCTCATCTGAGGACGCCACTGAACTTTTACAATATTTTTCTATTCCACATGCATTATTCACAGGACTGACAACTTAGTAATGATAAGTTGCAAATCGGATCAATTTATTCTTAACTTGGAACTGGACTGAAACTGCCAAAATATATTTGAGAGCTTTCAGAGATTATGCACATACAGTCTGGGCTAGATTCAAATTAAATATGCACAGGTGAAAAAATAATTGCTCTAACTTTCTTTCCAGGTTTACAGTATTTGAGAGCAAACACATAAAATTAAAATGTTTACAGGCTACTTATTCAATCTCTACAAATAGATGGCAGGCAACCTTTTATCTTTATGAACTAGAACATATATTCTAAATTACCTCTGCTTCTGATTGTTGTACCACATTTCTGGTTGGGATTGACATTCCTTTGTAAATAAATGCATGTTGGGTGATACATAATCTAGAAAACAAAATAGAATAATTTTGTGCAGAACGTGTATTGCATTTTGCTTTAAGTGCAAGAATTTATGGCATTCACACATAGAAAGATAAAGCAGCACCATTTTTTCTTTACTCCAGGTATTTCTGGTTACCTCCAACATAGTTTTAATAGTGCACAGAGCATTGTACCTACATTTTTAAAAATACATTTATTGTTGAACTATCACAGCAGTTTAAAAAGTTCAAGTGAATCAGTCATATATCACTCTGGTTTCAGCTTAACCAGAGTGAGATCATTACTTCTGGCAGATTTTGATTCTGTTGATTAATATTAAAGGAAATCCTGTTCATTTGCGTTTCATTTGTCAGTGCAATGACAGAGGAATTAGAATTGAACATTAGGTTCTGGAAAGATTTTATATAGCCGAGGATGGAGTCAAAGGCAAAAAGGAACATTTTGCAACTTTCACAGCTGATGAACTTGCCACATTTCCTTTACATCAAGCTATGCAATATTAAAATAATAATGCAATGCAATACTGTAAACCTCTTAACTGGAGACTGACGGGCCATATTAAACGATCATGATTCAAATTTTAGAGCCACTATGTTGGGTCAAACCCCAACATCCCTGTTTTAACATTTAACATCCCTGAAGGTTTACTCCTGATGACATGAGGGAGTATAATGCGTATATATTAATGGATACTCTCCTGAAATCTCGACTGAACTTTTATCCCTTAACAGCGTTCCCAAGGAAATATTTTAACTTTCATTAAAGCTCAGCTAATCTCTTCTAATGCAGGGGCACATGGACATCAATGCATTTTCTGATGCCATTCATTTTATTTAAATATAAGCAATTTACCAAGCTTACTTTGACAGCAAGCCCATCCAATTCTAACTCTACCTTCAAGAAGGACAATGGCAGTAAAGTCTTCCTGACTTGAATATTAACTGCCATTCCCGTTGCTGGTTCAAAAATCATGAAATTCCCTACCTTATGCTCTCATGCAACAGTACCATCAAAAGAACTCCAACTGTTCAAGGAGAGGGATCATTGCGCTTTCATAGGGGAGCAATAAATGAACTTTTATCAGCATCTCATCCACATCCCAAGAACAAGAAAAAAAAACATCAAGAAGTTCCTTTCCAACACAATATTGCTGGTTCATAAATTTTTTTTTAACAAATAACAAATGTATTTTAAAAAAAAACGCCAAATGTTTTTATCATAAAATGCCTCATTTATGCTTACTGCCAACATATCTGTGCTAATTTAAATAATATGAATCAGTGCATTCTTTTTCTAGTGGCTGTGTAACCCAATAATTATTAAGTGCAAGAAAGCAGCTTACCTAAAATGTTCTTGTCAGCAGAAGTACTGTAATTTTCCACCTCCTGCCAAAATAAAGGAATCTATTTATTAATTTGACAAACAAATGTGCATTTAACTATGTTTAATGACTCCATAAGAATTTTCTTCAAGTTGTCATTCCCATTCCAGGGAAGAATGTGGATGGGATGATCTGCCGTAATGTTATGCCATGTCTTCAGAGTTCTGCTGAAGTTATAGTAGGTAGTCAAGACAGCTTATACTGAAATTAATGGCATTGATTTACACCTATACTTAAAGCTGATTGTCTTATTCTTATGAGGAAAATGATTATTTATACCATTCTCTACATCAGCTGAGATTACTATGAAGGCCGTCCTTCTCAACTGCTCCCCTAGCCTGAGGTGTGGTGACCCTCAGGTTACACTATCACCAGTTGTGTCTCTCTCAAATGAGAGAGCTGCCCTAAAGTCTGACAGGACTATGGTGATTTACATTAACTTACATGGGATAACTAACAACATCTAATATTAGAAAATAACTCCTCTAACGTTCAATGCAATCTCCCATATATATCTCTATCAAAACCGCCCTTATTTTATTGAATATAGTTTTTGCAACAACCATGTAAACTACGTAACAGTGCAAATGCAATTTTTCACAATTTACTACTCATCTGTTTTGGCTGACACCTTGGTATGTGGCTGTGCAAAGCTTATGCAGAACAGTGGTTGCAAAATTGCTTTATGAACATTATAGAATATATCTTCCATTAGCTCCAGTATCAATATTTATATAGACACTGAGGTGCCGCTGCAGTTGAAGGCATGGATATTAACTATGTTCCTTGATGTGGTGATTCCCATCTGTTGGCAGCCATGCTCACATTGCATAATTGCTGCTGATTTCAGGAGGTGTCATCAGCAGCAATTTGCAAACATTATTCAGGTATCAATAGATATGTGGACAATTGGTAAAATTCAGGATTTTACCATATCTTGGAGTATTAGTACACTGAAGCCTTATCAGCACTGAAGCAGCAAATGCCCGGGGAACATGGCACATCAATCAATGGATAGAGGTGAAAAGACAAGGTTGTCTTTCAGATATGTACTGTTATGACCATTCCCTGGGTAAGGGTGATTTTTATGGTTAGCCTCAATTAGAAAAATGATGGTCGAGAGGCATTTTCACTAGATTATTAACCCAGGCATCCAGGTAATGTTCTGAGATCTGGGTTCAAATCTTACTATGGCAGATGGTGGAATTTGAATTCAATATAAGTCTGGAATTAAGACTGTAACGATGATGATTGAAACCACTGTTGACTGTTGGAGAAATCAATCTGGTTCACTAAAGTCCTTTAGAGATATTAATGATCCTTACCTGGTCTGGACTTTATGTGACTTGGGATGCACAGAAATGTGGTTGATTCTTAACCGCCCTCTGGGCAATTTCAGGATGGGCAATAAATGCTGACCCACCCAGTGATACCCACATCCCATGAATGAATAAATAGAAGGCTGTTTAGTTTTCTCTACTAATTTGTTGGAATTAAAGGATAATTAAAAACAAAATATGCACACTATTATAGAAAGGAGAACAAAGAACAGTGCATCTTTTTACTAGTAAAGAACAGTTTTGGAATAATAATTTGGGGCAGATCATATTGAAACACCAAGGAAATTGGAGTGCAAAAATGTTTATCTGGATGCTGAAAGCAGACTATGAAATTTTGACTGGTGTAATAATTACAAGGAATCAGCTTCAGTAATTCTTGGAAATAAACACCGCAATATAAATGGTGACCCTGTGATCCTGCACTTTTGGGTAGGAGCAAGGTTCTCAGGGAGCATAGTTGAAGAATTCAGCTACAACTTTGTACCCTATCTTTGATCTGCATTCTTTCAAAGGACAGCTTCCCTACTGAGAATTTGGGTTTTTGGAACTAAAATACTTAAATTGTGAACTGGTTAACTACAATAGTAGGTGGGTTGGCATAGTGGCTCAGTGGTTAGCACTGCTACTTCACAGCACCAGGTTCAATACCACCCTCGGACAACTGTCAGTGTGGAGTCTGCACATTCTTCCCACTTGTGTGTAGGTTTCCTCCAGATGCTCTGGTTTCCTCTCACGGTCCAAAGATGTGCAGGTTAGGAGGATTGGCCACGCTAAATTGCTCATAGTGTACAGGGATGTGTAGGTTAGGTAGATTAGCCATGGGATACAGGGATGTGGTGAGTTTGGGTAAGAGGCTGTTTGGAGGGTTGGTGCGGACCCAATGCGCCAAATGGCCTGTAGGGATTCTATGTTTCTAACTCATGAGAGCATAAATTCCAATCATCAACTTCATGCTCAAATGTTTGATATGAATACACAATTATATGCACTTTATTTTTAATACAGAAATTACCAAATTTGCATAATATTGAGCAAAAATATTGGAGTGCATTCAAAGCAATTTAAGCGCTTATACATGAAGTTTGCTGATGGCAAATTCCACTCTATGGACTTACACCAGCAGAATAAAGATGAAGGCAATAGACACTGACAAAAGGATTCTTGTGAAATGTCAGGTTTATGTTACAAAACCACTACATGTAGAAAGGGTCTTAAAATATGAAGGGCTGCTGACACTGTGAAATCCAGCTGTGGTGAGGGTAAATACCAGAGCTCCAGCAGAGTCAAATAACCAACTGTGTGCGTGAGCACAATTACTGAAAAGTTTCAAAAATGTAATTTCTTTATGGACACTAGACATACCTCAACACCGCTATCAGCAACTGGAAAACTGCATTGCTGCTGAGGTTGAGCAGGGTGAGCACTCAGATTGCTCATGCCCAGAATAAATTCTGCTATATTAAACAATACCTATTCTCATTGTCCACTGCTACTACCTCTAGTGATGGATGGCTACCTCTTCAACAAGGATATCAACTTGCATTTATATAGCACCTTTAATGTAATGGAACATCCCAAGCTGCTTTTGGACACTATTAACAAACAAAATGTGACACTGAATCATATAGGCAGAAATGAGGAGAGGTAGCCAAAATAGGTATGGTTTAAAAGAGCATCATAAAACAGGACAAAGGGGTTAGGATAGAGAGGCTTCAAGAATAAATTCCAAAGTTGAGGACCTAGGCAGCCAAAGGTACAGTTGCCAATAGTGCAGTAAGGAAAATCATTTAAAGAGAATCTTGGTACCTCTAGAGTCAGTTGCAATGCTTCATTTAAACTGACAATGTTGCTGTACAGAGCATGTCACCAAAAGCATCAAAGTAAAATAAACACACTACAAAGTAAAAACTACTGTGTAAGTTTAGCAGGGTAGCAAGGTAGACACTTAACATCTGAGTTGCAATTGAGTAAAGTGCTTGAAATTATTCAATTGAACCATAACTGAAATTAAGGATTTCAGTTGCTTGCATGGTTCAGTGATATTATGTTGCCGCTGTGTCAGAAAGTTGTAGATTTAAGTTCCACTTCAGAGGCTTCAGCATGTAAGCTTTAGAATATAGGCTGGTATTTCAGTGAAATACTGAGGGAGTGCAGCACTGTCACTAGCATTGTGGTTTGGACAGTAACTCAAGGTCCTGCCTCTGAGATACTTTATTGTAAAAGGCTCTAATAAATACAAGCATTTCTTTCTAATTTTACCTATGTTTCTGCATCGGAAAACATCTGGCCAGCTGTCATTCATTGGCTGGAGAGGTACAGAGAACGAAGCTCAAATTTACATTAAAAACCAATATTTACTTGAACTACTTCTGTCATGTATTTCTAGTGAGGTTGTTGACTTGCTCGCCAAGCCGTCTTGTTCTCATTCAGACGTTTTGTCACCATGCTAGGTGACATCATCAGTGGATCCTGCAATGAAGCGATGTGATTCTACTCTGCTTGGAATTTATACTGTTCGGTCCGTTATGGTGAGTACTGTCATTTCCAGTTTTGATCTGTATGAGTTTGTACTCACCATAACGGACCGGACAGTATAAATTCCAAGCGCAGTAGAATAACATCGCTTCTTTGGAGGCTCCACTGATGATGTTACCTAGCATGGTGACAAAACGTCTGAATGAGAACAAGTCGGCTCGGTGAGCAAGTCAACAACCTCACCCACAACCCGAACTATAGATCTTTGCCAAAACTTTAAATGTATTTCTAGTATTGTGGAGTCCTGCTTGTTTGTACAATTCAGGAGATAACACAAAAATAACTGCAGTTATGAACTTCCTCATGCATGGATGGCTGTTTGAAATTTGTGGCTATGAACCTCTTTCCAGCCACAATTGTGTGCAAAGAACTATATAAATGATTATTGACAATAGTGCACCACCAGCCAGAACAGGCAGGCTGTAGTTGGGTAGCTTCACCAGTCCTTTTGAAGATAAACAGACAGTGGCTTCTGCTCTGTGTTTCACTGACAGTAAACTGAGATCACAATGTGGGGCATTGTAGGCATGAGATGTTCCTCTGAGCTGGCTATTGAACAAGGTATTTAATTAGTAACCATCTGGGAAGCCTGTTTTTTAAATGATTATTAGCAGCCTTGGATGTAATTTTCAGAAAAGGCTTTCTGAGCAGATCAGTACCATGAGCTGAAAATAAAGCAAGGTTTGCGTGCTTGCTGTCACTAGTTTAATGGTACGTCTAAATAAAGATTCACATCTTCACCTCACAGTGCATTGTTGGTGATTAGTTAGTTACAGAACTCCAATAAAAATAAAGACATTTGAATATTACACAGTAGTAAAATGTACCTGCATATGAAAAAGGTATCTGTTTCTTACTTGTGTGCGATTGAGTTCTTCCTCAATCTTCTGTCTTAACATGTATAAAACTGTTTCAATAACTCCAGGAGAGCTCTTAACCAACTTTGTTAACATGTCTTCTGAAATATGAAAATGTAATTTGGAAAATACCTTCCTGCATAAAAGAATTGTGAAAGAAGTTTAAATTAAATATACCTCTAAATATCATACTTTTCATCAATGTAAGGCCCAATACAGATCTCACAAAAATTAATACTTTGTGAAGTAATCATAGCAGATTGTTTTAGGAAGTCAATGACATATATTATCAGTCATAGTTAACTACCTGATTTCCAGTTTCTAATAATCTCATCTATAAATAATTAACTTTATTTGGAAGTTTTAAATTGTATTCTAATATAAAAAGCTATCCTTATTCAATAGTTAGTGCAGGATATCTACTTGGAAAAAGTATGTAAAAGACCACATTGTGGGAAATATGGGTCAATAATACTGATTTTGGATAGTATGCCGTGAACAGAGTGGATTCCATGTGTGACCCCTTTACAGTGAAAAAATTAAAAGCAAAGGTAAATTCCTCAACTAGTGACAGAAGATGAAACTTTCTAAGCACATTAACAGTGCAGCAAATAGGAACATAACTATTATCCTTGTTAGGAGAGACTGACAAATAAGGATTATGATGTACTTGGTGTAAAAACCAAGCAAAAAAATATTGTGAGAAGCTTGTCTATGAGAAAGAGTCACATGAAAGATCTAATCAAGTGTGGACAGGATCAGGGAGAGAGAGAGAGAGAGAGAGAGAGGGAGAGAGTCATATGAAAGAGCTAATCAAAGGGAGACGAGATCAGGCAGAGAGAAAGAGAATCAATGTCAATATGACCAAGGAAAGATGAAATAATAAGGTGGAAAGATCTATTTAAAGCTGAAGCAGCTGGTCACATGAATTGACTGCTCAAACATTATACTGGTAGAATCCCTTGGTCAAGACAGTAGGTCTTCTTGCATGCTTGTACCTAATAAAGATTGCTCAAGTTGAACAAGGTGTCTGATCCTCAAGGCTTGTTTGGGTGCCAGGGCAAGCGCTCACCGTTTGTACATAGTGACAGGGAGTGAATGTACTACACTGGGACTGCAGTAGTGAGCAGACAGATCATGGGTTGAGTATCTTTATTTTACCATCTGTTGTTAGGAAAGGTCTACTTCACAGTCACAGCACTGGTCATTTAAGTGGGTGACAATGAATCATTGGGACCTATGTGCCAAAGCAGTAGAGTGAGCTAGGGGTAGAGGACAGCAGCCAGATAGATCAGAACTGTGACATGACAGGTAAGCCAGAATCATAAGGATTTATATCCAAGCTGTTATGCGAGAGGTCAGAATCACCACAGAGCAGTGGCCAGAGGCAAAGAGCAAGAATAGGGTAGAGCCATGAGCTATCAGGTGGATTAGAACCATCACATTGCTGGTGATAGATCAAGAGCCATTGCATGTGATAAGGGCGAGAATCATTGTAGGGCAGGGACTGGGGCAAGGAATGGCTATAGGTATAATGTGATGCCCTGCACGGTAGTGATCAGTGGGAACATAGTGACATGTCAGAAAACAACACCTTTAGTTTGGGACCTGAGGAGTCAATAGTTAAAGTTCTGATGGATAAGAGAGAGAATTGAATAAATAGGATGAAGAAAAAGGGTTGGAAACCCAGAGCTACACTAGAGGTGCAATCTATCTGGTGGGATACCCAGTAAAGGGACGAGAAAGATAAGGGGATTGTTATCACTATTTGTTCTTGAGACTGAGCAAACAAATCGAAAAACAAAGCCAGACAAATAATAGAATCAATGGCAAAACAGACTTGGATAGGAGTCAGGAAAGGTTAGTAAAATTTTTATTGGAAGTATCACAATAGTCTGGAAGGCTGCTGAAAAGACAAAAGAGAAACAAAAGAACATGTCTGTGTAAGTCTTTGCCAGTGTTTAGTCTTTTTATGTGTTCAGAAATTAATAAATGGCAAGTGTGAATGAGTGGGAGTGTGTCTGAACAAAGTTGTGTTAAATTGCTGCAAATAAAAGAAGCAGCAGCCAGAAGAAGCTACGATAAAAACGAGGGTTTAAGTTCTTGGAAAGCATTGCTTTCCAATTTGCTTTGTTTGATGGTAGTGGAATTTCTGGGCTTGGTCTGGCTTGTACAGATGTTGGATGAGCTTGTCGGCGAAGCAGAACAGCAGATGAAAGGGTCCACACATAAAGACAGGAAAATGGAATCAGTCTGGCTGCTGGCTAAGTGTGAGAAGCAGGAGAATAGATGTAGCCAGTTAGAAGATATGTGTGCCATAGTTGACAGGACAGAGTCTACTACAGAAAGAAAAGCGTGAATGAGGGCTGGAATGATACAGGCATATAGACAAGACAGGTTGGTGGATGGGGAAAATTGAGCTCATGAAGGCATGTTGTCTGGATATATCAAGACTGGAGGGAAAGAGGCAAACAGATCAGAAGTAATCGAAAGAGAAAAATAGCAAAGTTGAGCAGGAGAGAGAGAGATGATATTAAGGCTACCAGCTGTTCCAGGTAGAATATCCAGGTAGAATCAGGGCAGACCATGCATTATGTATTAAATCATTGTTAATTTCAAAGGCAAGTTACAGCAAAAGTGAGGGATCATTTGTGCTTGGCAACCAATTAGTGGAAGGCCTCTGAACCCAGAATAAGCAACAGGGTTAGAAGAGGAATTTGTAATCCCATTCATTTCCAAGGAACTAGACATAGGAATTGGGAAACTGGCACGAGGCCAAGAGCCATGTGGTAACTTTCTAGATTATCAAAATACCAGACTCCATAGTTTTGATGAGACCGATGAGAATAAGTTGTCGCTGGTCACACTAGAGTCAGCGACTTACTCAATCCTACCTGAGCAAGGAATGGCACAAAACACTTAGGATGAAATGAAGATGTGGGTATGATGGGATATGGGTCTCAAAAAATGAGATCCATGTCAACTAGTTCAGAATATGAGGCAAAATCTGCTGAACCTGTAACATTGGGATGAAGCACTTTCTTTGTTCTATTCTGGTGTGAGAGAGAAAGAGAAAAAGAGGCAGACAGCCTGGGCAAATAGTCCTTCCAGTTCCACATGGATGCAGACTAATGTCTACATTACCCCTTGTGGTCTGTTTTGTGGCTGGTTTTAAAGTAATTTATGTTTTAGAGTGTCAGTTGTTTTTTTTTTCTGTTTTGCTTCCTTTAAAAGCATGTGCTATTCTTTCCTGTTTCTGTGGAACAAATGGATTTATTTTTGTGCACATGATGTTCACGCTTTTGAAATATGACTTTATGATTTGGATTAAAGGGGAAATGTATTTTATCTTAAATGGTTTGAGTGATTATAATGAATTCTGTTCTGGATTGAATTTATCTTGAGGTAAAAAATACATACTGCACGATTTAAGGATTTGAGGATTTTTGATTCTTGCTCTAGTTCTGGGAAGACTATGGAGAATTTATTTTAATTTTGGATGTTGCTAATTGGAACCTCAACATAAACATTTCAGGTGAAATAAATTAAAAAAGAAAAGAAACAGAGAAGTTTGGAGAGGCTTGAGGATTAATCTAAAATACTGCAATTAAGCTACAGGACAGAGGAAAAATTACTACAATTAAAGATTTAAAATACTGTTAAGAGTGACAGTGTGACCTTCAAGCTGAAACTCAGTGGCATAACTGTTGATGAAACTCTAGACGTTTTTAAAATTTGAAATATTCACATCAAAGTCAAAGAAGCAATTCAAATGTGATCAACTCCCAGGGAACCCTGAAACAAATAGACTGCCAATATGAAAAGGTTATTGTCCGTGATCAAACAATATGCACTTTAAACAAACTGATTACCCAGGCAATGATTTTAAAAGCTAGTGTAAGCTAGGTTGCAGAATTTGTAGCACTAACTAAACCCTTAAAGGGGAAGGAAAGCAAATCAACATATACACAGATAGTAGATGTGCATTTGGAGTAGTGCACGATTACCTGATTGTCTGGAGCAGTAAAGAATATTTATTGCCTCGGGGAAGTCATATAAAACAAGAAAAGATAATTTGGAAGCTCATAATGGCAGCAGGAGTTTGTAGCAGTCAAAGCTGAAGTTCACCAGAAGATCATTATTCCAGTTGCAAATATATAAGGGACAAACAAATAATTACATAATTAGGAACCCAGTGATGACCAAGGAACAAAAGAAGCGGGGGTTGTTGGGGGGGTGGAGGTAACGCGGTGATTACAAAACGAGACTAATAAATGGAGATCATGGGATACTTCTTATAAAAGCCAAGTTGGTAGTACCTTAGGGAAGCTGGTCTGTGAGAAAGAGAGTCGTATGAAAGAGCTAATCAAGTGGAGATGGGATCAGGGGATAAAAAAAGAGATTCCATTACAATGTGATTAAGGAAAGAAGAGATTGGGAAATAAAGTGGAATGATCAAATGAACATTTTGTAATTATATAAATTGATGGCTCAAATATTGTAATAAAAAGAACTGTGGATGCTGGAAATCTGAAACAAAAACAGAAATTGCTGGAGAAACTAAGGAGGTCTGGAAGGATCTGTGAAGAGAAAGCTGAATTAACATTTTGGCTCCAGTGACACCTCTTCATTTAAGTTCCTGACTGCCCAAAAAGCGCCTCAAAAATCGAATGATCATTCGGGACAATAGGACTTCTTGCATGCTCATATCTAATAATGATCACTTGATTTGAATGCGACGCTTGACACTTAAGGCATTTTATTGTGAGTATGAGGGCAAGCCCTCACCCTTAATACCATTTTGTTTAGACAATCAGGATGGCTGTGCTCTGTGTCAGAGCTTGGGTGCTTCAGGATAACACCAAAACTCATGTTTTATTTAAAGAAATTTAGACCTATGGGCTGAATTCAGCATCATCAGTATGTCACAACTGACCAATTGCAACTTTAGTTTTGCGATGGTGGACTTTAAACTTGGTTATTTCCTGTCAAGTCACAGCTGTTGCCAGGAAAGACTCTGCAGCTAAAGAGTGTCACCTTCATTGCTACTGCCAGCGCAAAGTTTATAGTTTCCTTTGACTTCAGGCCTTGGCACCAAGAAAGCGTACAATACAGAGATAGTAAGAACTGCAGATGCTGGAGTCAGAGATAACACAGTGTGGAGCTGAAGGAACACAGCAGGCCAGGCAGAGTCAGAGGGGCAGGAAAGTTGACGTTTTGGGCTGGGACCTGAACCGAAATGTCAATTTTCCTGCTCCTCTGATGTGGCCTGGCCTGCTGTGTTCCTCCAGCTCCACGCTGTGTTCTCTCAAAGGATACAATACAGTTGTGTCCTGAGTGAGGCATGATCTAATCATACAGTACACCTCAATGATGTCAAGGAAACTAAACTCTGCCATTCAATAAGACTGTGGCATATCTGATTGAGACTCAAATCTACATTCACACATGCCCCCAATAACCTTTCACTCTTTCAAACTTGCTGTTGTATAGCCAGGACTGGGCAGGTCCTTTTTCTGACAACATCGCTGTTCTAACACCTATTCACTCTGCTGCCTTAAGCCACCTTTATCACAAGTATTGCTATGCAACTTTGCATTGATGCCCAAATAGCTTTTTGGAAGGTGGACAAAAATGAGCAAATGCTCCATTACTGGTAAAGAATAAAATTATTATAGACTAACTGCTACTGATTATGTGATTGTCACCTCAAATCTGCATTGTCTATTCCTGATAATCCTTTATCCCCCTTGCGTAACAAGATTCTAACTACCTCTATTTTCAAAATATTGAAGGACCCTGCTTCCATAACCTTTTCAGAAACAGAGTTCCAAAGACACGCATAGAAAAAAAATGGTCTCAGCTCTGTTTTAGCAGACATTCAGTGAGGGTTAATAGACCCTGGTGAACTATGTTTTATCGCCTTGGATTTTCCAGACTTTGCATTACTAATCCACTTCATTCAATATGTTCAGAGAAGTAAAACTTGCTGTTGTATAGCCTGGAATGGCCAGGCCATTTTTCTGACAACATTGCTGTTCGATCAATGCTGTACCACCACCCATTTACTCTGCTGCCTTAAGCTACCTTTAACATAAGTATTACTATGCAATTTAGCATTTGTACTCAACAAATTCAACAAAATAGCTTTCGAAAGGTGGACAAAAATGAGCAAAATCTCCACGACTAGTCAAGAATAAAATTATTATACATTAACTATTACTGATCATGCCATTAGCTTCAATATTGAGGAATTTCACCCCTTTGGGATACTAATCATCAACACTAATGACTTGCATTTATATAGCATATTTTATACAGTATACATCGCATGGTGATTCACACAATCATTCTCAGACAAGATTTGTCACGAGCCTCCTAAAGATGTATTAGGATAGGTGACCAAAAGTTTAGTCAAAGAAGTAAGATTTAGGAATGTTCTAAAGAAGGGACAGACAGAGAGAGGGGAGTAGAGAGGCAGAAAGGATTAAGGAGAAAATTCCAGAGTTTATACCTAGGCTTATACCTTGGAAGAATGTGATTGCATTAGAGTGAGTGCAGAGGAGATTCACCAGAGTAGATTCACCAGAGTAGATTCTGAAGAAGGGTCACAGGACCTGAAATGTTAACTCTGATTTCTCTTCACAGGTCCTGCCAGTCCTGCTGAGCTTTTCTAGCAATTTCTGTTTTTGTTTCTGATTTACAGCATTTGCAGTGGTTTCAGATTTTATATTCACCAGATGTTGCCTTAGCTACAGCAATTCAATTATGAAGAGAAACTAGATAAGCTGGGGTTGTTCTCCATAGAATGGAGAAGGCTGAGGGTAGACCTGGTTGAGGTCTGCAAAATTATGAGGGATGTAGATAGGGTAGGTAGGGAGAAACCTTTTCCTCCCCATAGTAGAGGGATCAATAACTTGGGGGCACAGTCTAAGGTGAGAAGAAAGATGTTTGGGCCAGTTTTGAGGAAATTGTTTCCACTCAGAGGGTGGTGGGTATCGGGAATTCATTTCCTAAAAGAGCAGTACAGTTGGAAAACCTCAAGATCTTTGAGAAGCATTTCAATGAACACTCAACATGCCATAGCATACTAGGCAACAGGCCAAGTGCCAGAAAGTGGATTAGAATAGATAGTTACTTAATGTATGACGTGGACACAAAGAACTAAAGGGACTTTTCTTATGACTCTGTGCTCAGACTGCTGCAGGCACAACAGCCAATGATGGCCAATGAAAATCATTCCAGGAGAAGGGGGGCACATGGGTTAGCATTTTTAAAAAAAGGTTGCTGACCACCTAAACATTTCAGAGTTTTTATCAGAACATTAACAGGCATCATGCTGCAGAACAGTAAACTGCAATAGAGCAAACTTTTAAAATAAAGTGAGAAGAAGGCGGAAAAGTTACTTCCTGTTGTTTTCTTCTGAAAATTGAGGTAAATCGCGGAAGTTGGTGAGATAACATAGAGAGTATCAAGGAGCTGTCAATCCAAATAGAGTTTGAGTTGTACCAACTCCAAATGATACCAAGACTAATTTTAGTCATTTTACTCTAGACAATTCCTGAGGGCGCTGCACTGTGAAATAAAGAAAAACTATTTGTTGCAGACCATGAAATATTAAATATCAAAGCACTTGCCTGTCTAATATCTGCCAATTGCTCAGTTTTTGCTGGGTAGAGTTTGCTGGAATATAGTTGTGTATTTCTACCAGTTTTGGCAAAAAATGCTTCACCACTTCAGCAACCAATACTTGAAAGAAATGAATAAAAACTATTTTGAGATTATTTTCAGTTAGCAAGTTATCATTAAAATTATTAAAATAATTCACAATTCTGTCAAAATTAGTTTTGTAAAATGATTAAATCATTACATGTTTATTTTCTACATTTACAGTATATATATAACAACTTATTTCATTGAATGAAGTTAATAGGGTTAATTTTCCAAATATATATTGAAAATCAACAATGATTTTCCAAAATGTGTCAACCACAAACAAGGCTCAATGTCATTTGCACAGTAATAAACCTTTTATCTTTTTCAGTTAGGGGATGTGGTCATCACTGACTGGGCTAGTTATATTACTTATCGAATGCCCTTGAGAAGGTGGTGAGTGGCATTCTTAAACTTCTGCAATCTATTTGGTGTCAGCATAAGGAGGGCTATTAGACAGGAAGATTCAGGATTTTGATTCAGCAAAAGTGGAGGAGCAGTGACATATTTTCCGAGTAAAGATGGTGAGTGAACTGGAAAAGAACTTTCCAGGTGGTTGCAAGTCCCATGTATCTGCAGTCCTTGTCCTTCTAGATGGTAGTGGTTGTGGGTTTGTAAAGTGCTGTGTAAGGGGCTTTGGTGAATTTTTGTCGTGCATCTTGTAGAAGGTACACAGTGCTGCAATAGTACACAGGTGGTAGAGAGAATAAATGTTTCTGGCTGTGATGCTAATGAAGTTGGCAATGTAGTCCCAGATGGTGTTAACTTTCTTCAGTGTTGTTAGAGTTACATTCATTCAGGCACATGGGGGAAACCGATCACATTCCTGACTTGTGCCTTGTAGATGGTGGACAGACACTGGGGAGTCAGGAAGTGAGTACTTGATGCAGGATTCCTAGCATCTGACCTAATCTTGTGGCCACAGAATGTATATGGCTCATCCAATTGAGGTTCTGGTGAATGGTATCCCCCAGTATGTTGATAATGGGGAATTCAGCAATGGTAATGCCATTGAATATTGAGGACAATGGTTACATTCTCTCTTGATGGAGACAGTCAATGTCTGGCATTTGTGTGGTGTGAATGTTTCTTGCCACTTGTCACCCTGAGGCTGGATATTACCCAGATCTTATTGCATTTGAACATTTACAGCTTCAATGTCTGAGGAACTGCAAAAGGTGCTGAACATCGTGCAATCATCAGTGAACATGTTCACTTCTGACCTTATGATGGAGGAAAAGTCATTAATGAAGCACGGAAGATGGCTGGGCTAAGGACATTACTTCGAGGAACTTCTGCAGAGAAGTCCTAGAGCTGAGATGACTGACTCCAACAACTAAAACTATCTTCCTTTATTGTGAAGCAAGTGATGCTCCATAGCACTGTTGATGACCCTTTACATCACTTTATTGATGATCAAGAGTAGATTGATGGTGTGGTAATTTGCCAAATTGAATTTGTCTCGATTTTCTTGCATAGAACATACCTGGACAATTTTCCACATTGTTAGTAGATGCTAGTGTTGTGACTGCACTAGAACTGTTTAGCTACAGTTGCAGCAAGTTCTGGAGAACAAGTCTCCAGTACAAATTTTGGAATATTGCCAGGGCCCATAAACATTGCATCATTCAATGCTTTTAGCAGTTGCTTGATATCACATGGAGTGAATTGAATTGGCTGGAGATGGGTATCTGTGATGTTGGGGACCTCTGGAGGAGGCTGATATGGATCATTCACACAACACATCTGGCTGAAATCAGTTGAAATATTTCAACCTTATATTTTACATTGATATCCTGTGCTCCTCCATCATTGAGGTCGGGGATATTTGTGGAGGTCACTTCAATACTGAGTTGTTTACTTGTGCATTTCCATCCATGACACTGTGGCAGGACTGCCCAGCTTAAATCTGGTCTGTTGGCTGAGCAACCTTTAGCTCAATCTATCACTTGCTGGTTATGCTGTTTGGCATGCAAGTTGTCCTTTGTCATAGCTTCAGTTTTTTTTAGCTGCTGTTGGCATGCCCTTCTACACTCTTCATTGAACCAGGGCTGATTCTTCGGGCTTGATGATGTTGGTAGAGGGAGGATTATGAGATTACAAACTGTTTTGGGAGTTTAATTCTGCTGCTGATGATGGCCATATTGTCTCATGGATGCCAAGTTGAGTTGTTACATCTGCTTGAAATCTATCCCATTTAGCACAATGGTGGTGACAAACATGATTGAGGATTTCTTTAAAGTGAAGACAGGACTTTTTCTCCACAAGGAATGTGTGGTCTTCACTCCTATGATACTGTCATGGGCAGATGCATCTGCAGCAGACAGATTGGTGAAGGTGAGGTGAAGTAAGTTTTTCCCTCTTGTTGTTTCCTCACTACATTCCCCAGACTAGCTATGTGCTGTAGGATTTGGCCAGCTTGGTTAGTAGTGATTTGACAGTCATTGTAGACATTGATATCCCCCACCCATACTACATCCTGTACCCTTGCCACCCTCAGTGCTTCTTCCAAGTGATGCTCAACATGGAGGAATACTCATCTGTTGAGGGGAGTGAGTGGGGATGATACAAGGTAATCATCAGAAGGTCCCCTTGTCTCCTAGAGCAACTCCCTCTCTCACCTGTATACTAATATGCTGCCATCTCTAATGGTGGGACAGGACGAATCGTCACTTCCAGTGCTCAGGTTGATGCCAGGTGTTTTGTGCAGTTTCATTCCTCTGAATCTTGTCAGTGGTTTTACAACTGAATGAAATTGTCTAGCAAGCCAGAGGGCAGTTAAAAGCCAACCACATTGCTGAGCGTCTACAGTCATATAGAGACTAGATCAGGTAAGGATGGTAGATTTCCCTCCTTTAGTGAACCAGATGGGTTTGTTTGACAATCGACAATGGTTTCAAAGATTTTTCATTCTAGATTTTTATTTAATTCAAGTTCCACTATCTGCCGTGGTGGGATTCGATCCTGGGTCCCCAGAGCATTATCTGCGACTCTGAATTACTAGTCAATCATCGGTGGTCTCTTACAAACAAGGATGACTCTCTTCCATTCTCAGGGTGAGTCCCTAGGTGGTTGTACAGACTGATGCAGCTACCACAGGCTCTGTTACACTTGGGGCAAGTGGCAGTCACAGGGAGGGGTGGGTGGGGCATCGGTGTGGCAGTGTGCTCCTTTCGCTGTTTTCACCTGGCTTCCATTTTTTCCCAAAGGCAACTCTCGAGGTGCTCGTTGTCTTCCTGGTTGCTCTTCCTCCACTTTGGATGGTCTTGGGCCAGTGACTCCCACCTGTCTGTAGAAATGCTGCACTGCACCATGATGCATTGAGGGTGTCACTAAAGCGCTTCTTTTATCCACCTGGGGCTTGCCTACTGTTTCAAGCCTACTAATCAAAACCACAATGTCCTCTGTCATGACCATAGGTCAGATCCTCAAACTACTATGGGCATTCTTAACATTCCAAAATGTGTTTTATTAAGACAGCCAATACAGCCAAAAATGGTTGTTGATGTGATTGTATGGCTGTCTGGAAAGAGAGACCCACAGGATGTCACACCCAGAGATGTGAAGGGAACTTCAAATAACAACCCTACAAGTGGTGAAGAAACATGTAAAAATTTACTGGACTGTGACTTCTTGTGACTACAAAGATAACAAGGGGCTGACAACCCCCTGCCCAATAACAAGCCACCCGCTGAAGATTGTGCCCAAAACTGCAGGCATAGTTTGTGTTTTCCTTTGAAGAATGTACAAGGTTAAGAGTTGAACTGGCAGTAAAGAAAACTGGACAACCAAAGGACTCTCTCTGACCCAGAATTTGGAATTCAATCATAGACAAAGGGAAACATAACAACCCAAAACAGCTCCCAAGTTCTTTATGAAATAAATGATGGACATATGGGCATATGCTGAAGTACAATTTTATTCAAATTTTCATGAGTTCTTTCAAACATTTTGTATTACCTCTATTTTGTTCCAAGTTGCATCAGATTAAAATGGTTAGCAAAATATATTTTTGTAAACATTGGGGATTATTTTGCTCCCTGCAATTTTGCTTTTGAAAATATAATTAAGGGTGCTCTTTGGTCCAGTGTGCAATGCAACATGAGCCTGGGTTCTGTCTAACTACATTCTATACTAATTTATCCAGGAGTCTGTAGGACCAGCAAGAAGATAGTAAATCAAGATTATTCTCTTGTCCATATCTTAACTGGGAGGTGTTATAAATGCAGGAGTTTAGATTGGGCTGGACAATGCAATGATATGAATGAAAGTGTTCAGAGTAAAACCTTTGGAGCAATAACATTTTCTTTGAACACTTTCTTTCATATCCCATATGAAAGTTTTGGAGAAAGGGATAGGTGGAATTGTTGATGAATCCAGTCCTCTCTGCCCACATACCCATCAAAACAGGATTAGGTAATTCAGTCACAGAGACATAATCATAGAGATGTACAGCACGGAAACAGACCCCTTTGGTCCAACTCGTCCATGCAGACCAGATATCCTAAATTAATTAGTCCATTTGCAAGCATTTGGCCCATATCTCCCTAAACCTATCCAGATGCTTTCAAGCCTTCTGCCATTTTCTTAGGCTGTAGCAGATTGCATCTTGAGTTGTCTATTTTGGCTCTGTATCCCTTCAGAGTCTTGTCCATCAGCATTAAAATTTTCAGTACACCCCCAGAGCTCAATAACGTTTTTGGGAGAGATTTCTGCTAGCCTTTAGGAATCAGGAACATTTCTTGGCATCAACTAGCCTAGCTGTAAACATTAAGGTTTTTGTTTGGGCTTCCACCAGAGGAAAGAAGGGGAAAAATGGCTTGTATTTTATAAAACCATTAGACATAGGTGCAGAAGGTGTCCACTGTGTTTCATCCACCATTCAATAAGGTCATGGCTGATTTGATTATCCTCAACTCTACTTTCCTATCTTATCCCCATAACCCTGGCTAGCTGGAAATCTGTCTATTGTAGCCTTGAATATACTTGACAAATTAGCCTCAACAGCTCTCTGTTGTAAAGAATTCTACAGATTCACTTCTCTGAGAGATTTTTTTCCCAAATCTGTTTTAAATGGGTTAATCCTTAGTCTTAGACTCTCTGACAATGGAAACAACCTTTCTGCATTTACCCTGTCAAGACCCCTAAGAATGTTATATATTTCAATAATGTCACCTCCATCCCTTCTAAACTCCAAACAGCACATGCTCAACCTACCTAACCTCTCTTAAAACAGTCTAGCAAGCCTTCTCTGGCCTGTCTCCAATGCCAGTATATCTTTCCTTGTATAAGAGGCCCAGAACTGTGCTTTACAACCATGAGGTTTGAAGTGTGGTCACTTTACTCAGTGGCCAATTTGGGCAAGCTCCCACAATAAGCAACATGATAAGCACCTTATAATCTATGTTTACTGAAGTTGGATAAACATTGGCTGGGAAATTTGGGAGACATTCCCTGTTATCAATTTAAGTAATGACATGGGATCGTTTACAGCCAACGGAGAAAAATGGTCAGTTTAAAGTCAAATCTGGAAGGCTGCTCCTCCGATAGAGCAGCACTCTCTCAGTGCTGCACTGGAACGGTCAGTCTTGAGACACTCTAGAGAGGGAGGTGAACCAACTAAGGGTTGCAAATAAACAATATCTCTGTCAGCACCAATCACCCCCAAGGAAGCCTAGCAGTCCAGGGAAATTCCAACATCCCTGCCTGTACTGCAGCAAAAGAGGACAGAGTGCTACAGACTGAAACTAGGCCCTCAGCTATGGATCACCACGTGGAAGGTGGACACCAAACCTGCAAACAAGGTCTCCCCACCCAGGTCCTGGACCCCGCCCCTTCAGCTATGGCTCCTCCTACCTGGGCCCGAGGTACCACACTCTCAGCCGAGGCACCGCCCACGGCGACATTGGCCCCACCTACCCAGCCAGGGACCCTGCCTCCTTGGCTAGGACCACGCCCAACGCCCCCTGGCCCCGCCCCCTTGGTCAAGGGGGCTGCTACAAGTACAACGGCACTGCCCAGCCGTAGCCGTGGCCCTGGACCCCGCTCCCTCAGCCATGGTCCCACCCACCTAGGGCCACAACCCCGCCCCCAAGGCGCGCCGGCGCGCCCAAGCGGCTCATGCGTTCCAGGAGTGACCGTTAACTGCTCGAGGTCCGGGGGAGTGGAGGCTGGAGGGCGCAAATGTTCAGTTCAGTCTGCGCGGCCGCCCCTCATTCCCCCACCAACCCGTCCCCCCCCATTCACCCCTCGTACCTCCGTCACTGAAATCCCGGGCAATGTTCCGTTTCGGCCTGGACAGCGGGATTCCGTCAATCCAGGCATACAATTCCTGCAAGGCCTCCTTGCTGAGCTCCCGGGTCATGGTGAGCACTCTGTGTGGGCTCTTGGGACCGGCAGTTTTCGTTTAAACTTGCCGTTAGCCGTGGCTGGCGGGCGGGCGGTTGTGTGTTTACAGTACGTTGCCTGGTTACAGCGGGGCAGGTCCTGGGTACGGTGCAGGAAGAGGGACATGATGCATACGGTACGGGAGAAGCCCAGTCAACCTCAAAACCAAAAACAGACATTCAAATAACATAAAGAAGTGCGATGGTGGAAGTCGAATCAAAATCCGAATGTGCTGCAGAAACTCATCAAGACTGGCAGCATCTCTGCAGACAGAAACCGTTAACGTTCGAATCCATGCTGCCAGACCTGCTGAGTTTCTTTGTTTTTGTTTCACATTGCAGCACTGACTGATATCAGCTCTTTGCTAATCATTTAAACTTGATTTTATTTTAAAATGTGCCCGTTCACCCACTTGTTTGCCATCAGCTGCCACGCTGTCATATATAAACAGATTCATATCAAACCATTAGGGCATATTCTAACCTTAAAATGATTATCTTGATATCACAGCATTAGAAATGATTCTGCCCACAAACATCACCTTATTTGTTTTTTTAAAATATCGTTCCTATCAGATAATTGGCCTGGACGTGTTTAAGCAAATTGTATCAAAAATAAACAATTAACATTCAAATTGGGTTCATTTAGTGCCACAGACGCCCTGGCCTTGCTTTCTTTTTACTGAGATGTGCCAAATTTAGGGCACATGTTTACTATAAAAAATGTTTTTTCTGCAGCCTTGCTGGTGATGCTGGTGCTGTCAATGGTTGCCCACTGAAACATAGCCTCAGTCTCAGGGACATTGATTTGGAAACCAAGAATGTTGTAGGGAAAATGACTCAATTTCTTTTGTACAATGTATTGTCATGGTCTGTCAATTCATCACTGTATGCCCAGTATGGCCTTACAGCAAGAGCTGTGTCCATCACTACCTCTTGTAATACTTGTAGATTTATATCTTGTTGGATACCTTATTTGATTTAATTAGGGTGCTTCTCTGTTAAGTTCAATGTACCTGCTGGGCTTGTGACTTCCAGAACATGCTGAACTGTTGCTTCACATTGGAGCAAAGGTTGACTGGATATGGAGGTTAGAAGAATGAGAAGACACCTCAATGGAAAAAAGATTCTAAGAAGACTTAATAAGGTAGATGTAGAGAGGTTTTTTTTTCTCTTTTTGGAGAATCTAGGAGCAGTGGGCATAATTTCAGAGTAAGGAGTTAAGACAGATGAGGAATTTCTTCTCAGAGAGTAGTGAATCTGTGGAACTCTTTATCGCAAAAGACTGTCAAGGCTGAGCCATTAAGTATATTCGAGACCGAGGTATATTTTTAAATCAAGAAAGGAATCAAGGGTTATGGGGAAAAGGCAGGAGTTGAGGATTATTAAATCAGCCATGATCTCATTAAATGGCAAAGCAGAATTGATAAGATGAATTGTCTACTTTTGCTCGTACATCTTATGGATCTGGAACATTTATACTGTAGCGTAGTATCCTCTTACCTTCTTCATTGGGAGTGATGCTGTCACCAGTACATATGTACATCTGCTAATCTGGTTTATATGTCACATCCAGATGGTATATCTGTAACAGGAGTAATTTTCTTTAAAGTAACAATGGAACAGATAGCTTGAGGAAAATGCTTTAATTTCAATTGAAAAAACAGGTATTGTTGGAAATATTCACACACAAAAACAGTGACCAGGTACTCTGCTAAGATCAAGAGAGAATGTATCCAGTTTATATTAAAGATGTGCATGTAAATGCAACTGGTTGTCTTTGCTGCATTTGGGTTACTCCATGTCCTGTTTTGCTGGTTTATACTGCGGGTCACTTCATAATTTACATCATAGTATTTCAGCACTGGTGTTGCTTTTACTGGTTATTTAATTTTAGTGAGTGTTGCTTGTAATTCTATGCATAATACCAATATAATGTCCTTGCCCACAAGCTGGCGTTATGGTTCACCAACAATGAATTGGGCAATAATTTTGCCAAATAGTGGACCAATAAATTGCTGCACTACTTTTACAGCTCTCATGTTTTTGGGATTCAGACAAGGACTATTTGTTGTCACTATATCGCATACATACTTGATCTCAGACGTCTTTAATTGTACCTTTTTCTTGTTCAACTTTAGGTTCATCTGTTCAAGCTCAGTCTAGGAGTTGCATCACATTGTGTTTCTGCATGCATAAACTAGCAGATCCTTCCATGTAGCTTCTACTCTTGAATGATCAGTAACTAGATTATGATGTCTGCTTGATATTCCTTTGGAAGAGAAGCTATGCCAAACTGCGTACACAATCTTTTTCTCCCAAAGGCATCCACAATGGAAAGCTTTCACCCCACTTCATTTATCAGTTACCATCCTTGACACCTAGAATAGTCAAGACTTTTGCCTTTTGCAAGTTGTGGCACAATTCCTTTGGTAGTTGGCATGGAGTAGTGGGGTATCTTCAGAGCTTTACTTAGATTATTTAAGTCAGTGTATACTCTCAGCTTTCCAGGTTGTTTCACTGTTGTCATGCTGCTAATCCATTCTGTAGGAATTATTATTTTCTTGACAACTTCCTTCTCTTCCAGCACTTCTGTCTTGTCTTTAAAGCTAGCCTTGAGGGCAGCTGGAACTTTCCTCAGTAGATACAGAATTGGTCTTACCCTCATCTGTTTTGAGATCATACTCTCTTGGAAGACAACCTACCCCTGTGAACATAATCAGTTTGCTCCTCTAGGATCTGTGCCACGGTCAATACTGTGCTGTGACGTGTTGCAAATCTCTTTGTACATTAGAGATTGGACTGGTAATGCTCCAACTTGCTCTGGCTAACATGAATGGCTTTTGCTTGCCATTTATGATCTGAAATGCCAGACTATTAGAGGAATCTATCCTTTTGGCATGAGTATGCCAAGTATTTGTGGGTTTATGAGTATTTATGGCCTCAACCTCACTTTCAAGGTTTTCGTTTTTGGAGCACCACATTGAGCCATTTTGGACAGACCTATGAAGATCATAGTGTTGTATGACACACAGTGTCTATCTGACACTTGATGTTCTCCTTCTGCAACCCTTATTTCAATAGTCTAGAACTACATTTCATCGGTTCACCTGACTGAACGAAACTGCCTATATGGTGTGTGGAGTACTTCATCAGAATCTTCAGCTAGTATCTCTCCGGTGGCCATCTGCTTCCTTCAGGCAAGACACACACACACACCACCCCCACCTCCCCCCACCACACACACACACACACACACACACACACTGCTTTTCTCATTCTGCTTTCTCCTATTGCAAGATGACGTCTACAAAATTTGTAGCCTTTTGGGGCTGAAGTCTTTATCATCCTAATTCAAAAAATGCTCTATTCTGTCATGAATATGCCCTAACTGCTGATTGACCATCACAGCTCTTCTGCACATCTCAAATATATTTGCAACATATTAGAGTGGCATGGTGGCTCAGCGGTTAGCACTGCTGCCTCACAACGCTAGGAACCCTGGTTCAATTCTACCCTCAAGTAACTCTATGTGTGGAGTTTGCACATTCTCCATGTCTGCGTGATTTTTCCTGCGGGTGCTCTGGTTTGCTCCAGCAGTACAAATATGTGCAGGTTAGATGGATTGGCCATGCTAAATTACCCTAGTGTCCAGGGGTGTGCAGGCTGGGTGGATTAGCCATGGGAATTGCAGGATTACGGGGATAGTGTATGGGGCTGTGTCTGAATGATGCTCTTTGGGGGGTCAGTGTGGACTTGATGGGCTGAATGGTCTACTTTCACAATGTAGGGATTCTACTCTATGATATACAAGATCCTGAGGGGTCTTAATGGGCCAGTTGTGGGGTTGATGTTTTCTCTAAGAGAATACTGTTTGATTTTGATTGAATTTATTGTCATGTGCACATAAATGCAGTGAAAAGCTTTGTTTATGAGCGGTACAGGCAGATCACAGCAAGCAAAGGATGTACATATCAAAAAGACTTGGAGGCATGCAGGTTACATTGCAGGCGATATTATTTGAGGCTAGAGTCCATTCAACAGTCTGATAACGGCTGGAAAAATGCTGTTCCTGAGCCTGCTTGTGCGTGTGTTCAGGCTTCAGTATCTTCCTCCTGACGGAAGAGATTATAGGAAGTCATTACCAGGGTGCGATGGTCTTTGATGATGTCGACTGCCTTTCCACAGCAGTGAGCCATGTAAATAGAGTCCATGGATGGAATGTTGGCTTCCGTGATGGTCTGGGCTGCGCACACAATCTTCTGTAGTTTCTTTTGGTCCTTGGCAGAGCAGTTGCCATACCAGACCGTTATGCACCTGGACAGTATGCTTTCAGTGGTGCATCTGTAGAAGTTGCTGAGGGACCTTATGGACATGCCAAATTTCCTGAGCTGCCTGAGGAAGAAGAGGCGTTGTTGTGCCTTCTTGACTGTTGCATCTATATGGGAAGTCCAGGACTGGTCGTCAGTTATCATCACTCCGAGGAACTTGATGCTCTTCACCCTCTCAACCTCAGTTCTGTTGATGTAGATGGGAGCGTGTTCTCCTCCTTTCTGAAGTCGACGATCAGTTCTTTAGTTTTGCGGACATGGAGAGACAGATTGTTTTCATTGCACCACGTCACCAAGTCCTTGATCTCTCTTCTGTATTTTGACTCGTTGTTGTTAGATATCCGTCTCACTGTGGTGGTGTTGTCAGTGAACTTGTAGATGGCGTCCATTCGGAATTTGGCAACACAGTCGTAGGTTTACAGAGATTACAGTAGCGGGTTGAGGACGCATCCGTGGGGGGCTCCAGTGTTGACTGTTATTGTGGAGGAGGTGCAGTTACTGATCCTCACTGATTGTGGCCTTTGGGTCAGAAAGCTGAAGATCCAATTGCAGAAGATGGGGCTCAGACCAAGGTCATGCAGTTTTGACCCCAGTCTGGAGGGGATAATGGTGTTGAAGGTGGAGCTGTAGTCAACGAGCAGGAGCCTTATGTAGCTGTCTTTGTTGTCCAGATGCTCCAGGGATGAGTGCAGGGCTAGGGATATAGCATCCTCTGTGGATCTGTTATGTCGGTAGACAAATTGTAGGGGATTGAGGCAGGCTGGGAGACTGGAGTTGATGTGGGCCATGACCAGCCTCTTGAAGCACGAATAATCATGAAGTCAGAGCTATTGGGCGGTAGTCATTAAGGCACACTGCATTTGTTTTCTTGGGTATGGGGATGATAGTGGTCTTCTCGAAGCAGGTGGGGACTTTGGCTTGTAGGGGGGAAGAGGTTGAAGATGTTGGTGAATACTTCCACCAGTTGGTCCACACAAGATCACAGTGCTCGGCTGGGGACACCATCTGGGCCTGTTGCTTTCCTTTGGTTGACTCCCAGGAAGACTGATCTACTTCTGAAGCTGTTACAGAGGGAACAGGTGTGTCTGGGGCTGTCAGGGCAGGCATTGCCATGCCAGTGGTATTCTGCTCAAACTGAGCATAGAAAGCATTGAGTGTATCAGGGAGGGATGTGTCATTGTCCGCTATTTTACGCTGTTTCATTTTGTATCCTGTAATATTGTTTAGGCCTTGACATAGACAGCGGGAGTCTGTTTGGTAGGTGTGGGCTCTAACTTGGTCTAGTACTGCTTCTTGGCCTCCCTGATGGCTTTGCAGAGGTCATACCTGGATTTTCTGTATTGGTCCGGGTCACCCGACTTGAATACCGCACGTCTGGTCTACAGTAGGGAGTGGATTTCCTGGTTCATCCAAGGTTTACGGTTGGGGAACTCTCCGATTGATTTCTTTGGTACACAGTCCTCCACACATTTGCTAATGAAGTCCGTGACAGTGGTGGCATACTCGTCTAGGTTTTCCGTTGAACACTTGAACGTGGCCCAGTCTGCCGAGTCCAAGCAGTCCTGGACACAGTCTTCTGCTGCCTCGGACCAGCACTGTACTTCATTTTGTGAAGGATTCTCCCGTTTCAGTTTCTGCTTGTAAGCTGGGAGGAGGAAAACAGTGCTGTGGTCAGATTTTCTGAAGTGTGGGCAGGGGATTGAGCTATAGGTATCTTTGATGGTTGTGTAGCAGTGGTCCAGAATGTTCGGTCCTCTAGTGGGGTAGGACATGTGCTGGTGGTATTTTGGCATCAACTTCAGGTAAAATTCTCTTTGAGGGGATGAGAGTCTTTGGAATTCCCTTCCTGAAAGAATATTTTTAAGTCAGAGGTTGATAGATTCTTGTTTAACTGGGGGTCTCAGTGTTGTCAGGGATAGGCGAGAACATAGAATTGAGGTTACAATCAGATCCGCCTTGATGTTATTGAATAATAGAGCAGGCACAAGGGGTCGAATGGTCTCTTACAGCTTCTAGTCTGTACATTGTATGTTTACAATTGCTTTTCTGTGAATAACTTTCTCACATCTAATGCAATCAAGTCTTCAACTAGACCATTTTCTGGTTGGGCAAATTCAGAGGATTTTTCAAGCTGACCAAATCAATGGACTCTTTTTCAACTTAGGCCCTCAACATATGAATGGCACATATTTAATATTTGATCATTTGAGGTTCAGAGCTTGTTTTTGAGACTTGAATTTCTGCAGGTTTATTTTGTTCTTCAGAAAGATTCAAGGTTGAATACACTTTGAACCAGTCTCTTCCCAGCAATGATACAAGTGTGGTGACAGGTAGCTGTTTTAGTTTGTTAAACAAAGGACTTATACACTTACTGGTAACGTACTGGGCGAGTTGCTGAACAGAGACCTCTGAGTGCAGTTTCATAGTTCCTTTAAAGTGGAATTGCGGGTAGATAGAATAGTGAAGAAGTCATTTGGTATACTTGCCTTTATTGGTCAGTGCATTGCGTATAGGAGTTGGAAGGTCATGTTGTGGCTGTATAGGACATTGGCTAGGCCACTTTTGGAGTATTGCGTGCAATTCTAGTCTCGCTCCTATAGGAAGGATGTTGTGAAACGAGAAGGGGTTCAGAAAAGATTTACAAGGATGTTGCCAGGGTTGTAAAGTTTGAGCTATAGGGCGAGGCTGAATAGGTCATGGCTATTTTCTCTGAGTGTCAGAGGCTGAAGGGTGACCGTATAGAAGTTTATAAAATCATGAGGGGCACGGATAGGGTAGATTGGCAAGGTCTTTTCCCCAGGCTGGGGGAGTTGACAACTAGAGGGCATAGGTTTAAGGTGAGAGGGGAAAGATATAAAAGGGACTTAAGGGGCAACCTTTTTGTGTAGAGGGTGGTGCGTGTATGGAATTAACTTCTAGAGAAAGTGGTGGAGGCTAGTACGATTACAACATTTAAAAAGCATCTGGGTGTGTATATGAATAGGAAAATTTTACAGGGATAGGGGCTAAATGCTGGCAAATGGGACTAGATTTATCTAGGAAAACTGGTCACCATGGACGAGTTGGACCAAAGGATCTGTTTCTGTGCCGTATATCTCTATGACAAAGCTGTCACTATTTTGTAATTTGCTGGGAAGGGAAAAGCTGTGGTCATTTTCTTTTTCTCAGTGTTTCAGCCGTGGCCTGTTTCTTTATTCTTTCAGTTGCTTTCGCATCATTGAACATAGTTATGGCTCTGCTAATAGCTATACTATTATGTTTACAGCTCTTCAACACGGTCACAGCTTCACTTTTGGCACTACATTCTGTCTTTGAGGCAGCTGTCTGGTCATAAGTGTCTTTATTGAAGTGCTGCTAGGGTGGTTGTCTGTATTGTATCTATCTTATGGTAGACATCATATGCCACAGCAGACCCAGAGGACATTTGTTCATTATTGCAGTTCAATTCAAAGAGAAACAATATTGTTTGCCTAATGAATTTAACTCATGAAAATTGTCTTCCATGGGTATCTGGACACCATAGCTAGATAGATAGGCCTTTGACATCTAGATCCTGGTTCAAACGCAACATAGTTGAGTGAGGTGAAAATCCCCTGTGCTCTCAGTTAGTTTGAGTGTGAAATGAAGTTGTAGAATTTCAATAGTATTTCTATTGGGCAGTAGTAGTGTTACTGCAAGAAATGAAAAATGTCGCCAGTGCCATAGCGGGCAATCTTCTGAAATTAGGATAGAGTAGTGAGAGTTTTATTGCGTCTAATATCAGTCAAAAGGAAAACTTAAAAATCAAGCAACTCTGTTCTGCAAGGGAAATGGAGTGGCAAATAATGTCAATATTGCTGCTTTGCTAATGGATGAGACCTGACTCAGGCATAAGTCTCAGTAATATATACTAACCAAGGTTGTTTGATCTGCAAAGGACCTGGATGGCATTTTAAACAATGTAGCTTACTTGTGACAGGCTCAGCACTCGATTAAACTTGCAACGAGGAAGCAGAGGCTTTAAAAAGGAGGCCTGGGTTCAATGCTACTGAGGTGTGTCATAACATCTCTGAAGAGGTTAATCAGAAAAAAAGTTTCTATACTCTGGACTGGCTGTATCACATCACCCTAGAATGTTGTGCTCTGTACAACTGGAGCAGGTAATCAGGGAATATAACAGATACAGAGGAACTCAGAGCATGGAGCAGTCTTCATCTTCATGAAAAAGCTGAGTTTTAAACTTATTTTTGAGAGGTTTGGAAAGACCATGAAAAAGGTGTTTCTTTCAGATGCACAAGAAAAATCTGGGTGTCTACCGTCCTGCTATGAAGCCTACCTGTGTTATCAGTCAATGAAAGAATACTTCTAGTTTTCAATTTAAAATCATAAGCAGCACCTCTTGGTTTTGGGATCGGAGGGTATCCTGAAAGGGGAACTTGCATTATTCTCTGATTTTTATCAAGGTACGACAAAAGGCATAAAATAATGGCATAAATTCCTGTGGTTTTGCCTATGACTTAGAATTCTATTTTCAAAAATCACAGTAATCATTTCTACAGCCAGTTACATGGGTTCAGTTGTACTTCTGAGGCAGAAACACAAAATAATCAACTTCTCAAAAGCAACTGCAGTGCATTCTTACAAGTACAAGTACAATATTTATTTGCTAAATAAAATAAATAACTCATCGCACACTGACAAGTATTTGTTCAGTCCAGCTGAAAAGTGCAAATAATTTAATTATGAACATCTCTGTGGGATTTGACAAAATGGAATTGAAAAATCAAATGGTAAAGCTAGATAACAATTGATATCACAATTCACCAATTTTGGATTTAAAAAAGTTAGGAAAAAATTTGAATAATCTTTGACAACATAAAATCAAAACTGTTTTTCGGCTCTGATTAAAATGATAACGTAGAAGAACAAGATCAGTGCAAAATAAAGGTTCCACAAATACGTAGTCAAGACCTGTTAATCTGAGGATATTCATTTTTTTTTAAGAGAAGAAAATGCACCTATAGCAATTCTGAATCAAGTTTATGGAAATCATGTTTATTTAATGGAAATGAGAGGTCTCTCATCTCCACTACTATCTTTGATATGCTCAAAAGCATTCCTGCCAGTACAAATACCATGGAAATGCGTTAAAAAATTATTCCTATTATAAAAGTTTTCCATGGATGTCATTAGCTAGCTAAAATACTAGTTCAATTCAGAAATTTGCACTATTTTTCTCCTGCTAAGCTTCATATTTGTTACATTTTTAAAAATAGTCGGTCATTCAGGTGAAACTACACAGTTAATGATATTTGCACCACATTCGAAAATTTATTTTCCCTCTGAATTGTCTTTTTTTGGCTTTGAAGTTGTTTTTGAAATCTGTTAATCAGGAATGCCAACCTCTAAATCAAAACTTTAACAGACACTATTTTATGTTTCGAGTATTTATCTCGCACTTTCCCAAAATAAGTGTACACAAACAAAATCAGAATTAAAAAAAAAAGTGTTCCTTGCATTAAAAACGGACAAAAGCATTGATAGAGGATAAGTACAATTGTAAATACTTTTGTCTCTATTAAAATTTATTTAAATATTCTTCAAGCATGTGTCATGATTCTAGCAATCTGTGTTAAGGCACAAATTTGAGGGGAAATAATGTACATTGTAATAATGAGTTCTAAAATCTAACTAAATCTAAAACAAAGAATTGTGGATGCTGGAGATCTGAAACAACATATACAGAAATTGCTCAGCTGGTCTGGTAACATCTATGGAGAGAAGACAGAGTTAATGTTGAGCCAAGTGACCCTTCAAAATTCAGTGCTGAAGAAAGTACTTGAAACTTTAACTGTCTTCTCTCCACAGATGCTGCCAGATATGCTAAAATTCTCCAGCATTTTCTGTTTTTGTTTATTTCTGCCCAAATCTAAACTGATTGGGATTTGCTTATTTAAGATTGGCTAATTGAGTCACCTGTAGGCTTACAGCTATATTTCCAATTTCAGTAATTAAATCCCTGCAAAGATACCCAAGGGGACTGTGCAATGTATTCTAACTCGTTTTTTATAAATAAAATATGTACTTTGTCCTTAAAAGTTGTAAACTTGCATAAATGAAATGGTTCAATATTATTGAGAGGAAAAAATGGTAGGACCATACATAGCTAAAGATAAATCAACCAGCATCGAGAGGGTTGTTCAAATCATGGGCTATTTAAAGCAAGGTCACACTGACATGCAGACAAAAAGAGTTCCAACATGAATCTCATCCTAGGCTGATTTCCAATTGTTCTAAATGAAACAATTTATTGCTGGACAGAACAGAGATTTGTAATGAAGACAAAGTGCTGGAAATATCAGATTTGGCAGCCTTTGGGTAGAGTGTAACAAAGTTAACGTTTAAAGTGAGTGACCTCTCACCAGAGTTTCCTGTTGGTTCTGTCCATTTAGCTTTTATGTTAGAGACCAATTTCATCAAACCCTAATAAGATACAGTACAGAAGCAGGCCACTTGTCCAATTAAGTGTATAATAGATATTGTTCTCCATATGAACCATCTAATTTAAGCAAACCTCCAAAAATTGAATCAGAGACTTTAATAAAAATCCTTATTTTGATCAAGTCAGACTAATGACTTTAACTGGACGACTAAGTGCACAGTTGTTCCTTCACAAATACTGGAAAGGGGGCTAGAAAATGATCCTTCTGATTCACATCCATGTATAGTCTTTGTGCAAGACCAAATCAAGCAGACAAATGTAATATTTTACTGGATTTTCTTTCTTCAAAATAGCTTCTTTCTATATAGAAGGATCACTTCACAAATTGTATCTCATTACTGTTTGCAGGAGAGTTATTTTAATTTACATAATTATAATATCAAGAAAAATAAATCCTTAATAGTACCAAGGCAACAGTACCATGAAAGCACCATTATTAGAGATGTTCAGTTTTTTTCCTTTTTGAATCTGTCACTGTCTTGTACTGTTCAATTTTTTTTTTCCAAAAAACTGTACAAACTTGTAGACAAGGAACCAAAGATAATGCTTTTATCCTCTTCCTGAAATGACAGAAAAAGACAGCGAGTCTACCAGCTCTACAGCTGTGCGTCTGTAAGACAATGATGTTGTTGCATATTTCGTCTTCATCTGGGCTGATTTGGTGGCTTTAAAGCCACTTTTGGCTTGTAACCAACCTAGCAAGAAGAAGATTATATTGTTTAGTCACAATGACACTTTATATTTGACTTCTGTTACAATTGTCATCTTCAAATTCTTTACCTGAAGGCAGGTCCAACTCTCAGCATTTCATGAGTAGGACAAGAGGCAGGTCCCAAACCCTCTCCAGATCAACAGCAATCAAACCACATGACTGTTGGTGCCGATTTGATCCATACCAGTTCTCTGGCCAACTAAGCCAATTGGCTCTTAACGAGTCAGAGTCGCTGCAGCAACATATATTTTTAGATGCATGTTGTACTGTAAAAATGGTAGGGGCTCCTACCATTCTTTCCAAAACATTCTGACCTGGAGCCGCTCCCACTCTTATCACCTGCCATTGTTGTATGCTGGAAGGACTTACAGGTTGACACTCAATTGGTTTGGCCACATTATGAAAGCATCTTCCTCAAGTGGGACTTGAACCTGGAGCTCTGGCTGAGAGTTGTGAATGCTACCACTGCACCCAAAAAATTCCTACATTTCAATACATTTATTAAAATGATTCCAAATGACAATTTAACCCTGTGCATTATCTCCACAAACCAGGAATTGTTATTAATGTATTCAAATTGCAGAATAACCCAATTGCTCTCTCTCCAACCCCATTCATCTTCCCGTCTGTTGGGTTGACTCTGGAGAACACAATATTGAACTGGCCCATACTGAGCACCTGTTTGGAGTATGGATCATGGTAACAAATTGCTTTCAAGTTAAAATGCTGGAGGGATTACTCTGTCCTGTTATATGATAATTATAAATTTTAGGGTCAATTTTAATGTTGTAAACAAGTAAATAAAAAGCACATATTTATAGAAGTTTCTATTTAGTTTTTGTCTTTTCTTAATCACTGTCTTTATATAATGTCAATTCAAAAGAACAATGATTGTTTCATCATCATTTTCATCACTGTGGAAAGAGTGATGTATCTTGAAGGCTACAAACCAATCTTCACTAATTTGAGCAACTCACTTTACTTATAATAATCTAAAAGTCTTTGGATTTAAAATATTGATAATTCAACTGGTAACAATACTTCCCAATCATTATCTATAACTGAACTGTTTATGTTTGAATGATATAGCTTTGTTCTTCAGGGAAGTTACCTTAGATTTGAGCTATCAAGTGGAGCAATATTTACGCTAGGGATATGGAATCTAACTCTAATTGGTGTATGTATTATACTTTCAGTTTAAAAAGATAGCCATCATAACTACTATATGAAGAAGTCACAGACTGAACATTGATCATCCAGCACAAATTATACTATTTATAACTGTAAAATAAAAGTGGAGCTAAAATGAACTCTCTCAGTTAGCAGAATAGAACATGATATGGATATTTTCTAAATCAACCTGTTCAGAGATGTTATTACACACCAGGTTGGACTTAAACCAGGTAGACTTCATAATTAGGCTCACCTAGCTATGAACAATCCGAATTCACCCTCTGGCCTGGATTTACAAATCAGTCCTGGTTTATAGGGGTGGAAGTGGTAGTTTTTTTAATATATATTGGAAACTTACCAGTGTGTATTTGGAGGATGCAGCCGGAAAGCATGGTTTAACAGGTGGTAGGGGAGGCTGAATAGTAGGTTTTACCACCTGGAAAGCAAAAGGTTGTGTTTGTCATCTTGTAGGAACTAGTTACTTCCTCATTTTTTGCTAACTGCATCAATTTAGATCATGTACAAAGTTAACTGCACAATTTATTCAAATAAAATCAAACTCAATTCAGTTTTGAAACAGGAGCATCAAGCTAAAATTATAACAAAATGAATTTTAAGAATCTAATGTGTCTAACTTGTCTATTGATAGATAATTAAAATGTGTGCATAAATATATTGTATGCAGATGCATTGACAGTCATACAAAGAGGCACATGTGAATGCACACATGTAAAGAGTTTATCTTCTTTTCAAGTGCTCCTTGAATGAATTCAAATTTAGAGCAAAGGCATTCTGAAAATATAACGAAAATTGTTTTATAGTTAAATAATATTATCTAACTTTTTGAATTCAAGTCTTTTTACTCCTGAGGAACATGCATTTGAGATTTCATTCTGACTCTCAGTTTTAACTTAATGTTAGCCACTCATCAATTCTCATCCTCTAAGCACCACAATAGCACTGTTTCATCAAAGTACAGTAGCAGCCAAATATTTTAGCAGTTGTGTTACTCCCCCAATATCCATTAAACTTGAATAAAAGTTAAAGTGCATGGGATTGGTGGTTGTATATTGAAATGGATTGAGAACTGTTTGGCAAACAAGAAACAAGAAAGAATGAACCGGTCTTTTTGTGAGTGGCAGGCAGTAACTAGTGGAGTACCGCAGGGATCAGTGTTTGGATCCCAGCTATCCACAGCATATTTTGATGAGAAAATTGTGTCATTATCTCCAAGTTTGCAGATGACACAAAGCTGGGTGGGTAGAATGCCAAGATTCAGTGTGATTTGGACAAGTTACATAACTGGGCAAATACGTGGCAAATGTAGTATAATGTCGATAAGTGAGGTTATTCACTTTGGTAACAAAAGCAGAAGGCAGTATTATCTGAACTGTGGTTAACTGGGAAGACGGAGGTGCAACAAGACCTTAGTGTTATCATGCATCAGTCATTGAAAGTAAGCATGTAGGTGCCGCAGGTGAAGAAGTCAAATAGTATGTTGGTCTTCATTATGAGAGAATGAGGGTACAGGAGCAGGGCCAGTTACAGGGAATTGGTAAGACTACACCTGGGTATTATATACAGTTTTGGTCTCCTGATCAGAGAAGGAAGTTCTGGCTACGGAAGGAGTGCAAAGAAAGTTTACCAGACTTATTCCTGGGATGGCAGAACTGGCATAAGGGGAGAAACTGAATCCCAATCATAGTTCAGATAATCTGCCACCCTGTTTTTGCTACCAAAAGTATTTGGGGAACTAGTAAGAGACTAAAAAGCAGGGACGTCCAAATGCAATCATCTCAGGATTGTTCCAATATCACAGGTTGGGCGAGTACAGAAGTAAGAAGATTGAATGAATTAACACTCAGTAAGGAAAATAATGCAGGAGGAAGGGCTTTAACTTTTGCGGCATTGGGACCAGTTATGGGGCAGTTGCGACCTGTGCAAGAGTTGAACCTTAGCAGGAATAGGTTTAAATATTCTTATGGGGAAATATGCAGGTGCCGTGGGAGAGGGCTGAGTCTAGGCTTTCAGGAATTGGTAACTAGAGAGGAAATTCTGAATTGAATAAAAACAAAGTTTATTATGGCAAGCAGTAAACTGTAAACAAAAGTGAAAAGCAACAGACGCAAATCCTGGAATCAACCAGAATCAATTACAGAAGTGCTAAAAAGGCAGAATTTTTTTTAAAAAGTCTTCATGTGCACAGCATTCACAATAAGGTAGGTGAATTGATGGCACAAGTACAATGATATCATTTAATTGCCAATATGGAGATTAGGAGAGGCGATGACCTAGTGGTATTATCGCTGGACTGTCCAGAGACCCAGATAATGTTCTGGGGCCTGGGTTCAAATCCCGCCACAGCAGATGGTAGAATTTGAATTCAATAAATGTCTGGAATTAAGAATCTAATGATGACCGTGAATCCATTGTTGATTGTCAGAAAAACCCATCTGGTTCATGAATGTTCTTTAGGGAAGGAAACTCCCATCCTTACCTGGTCTGGCCTACATGTGACTCCAGACCCACAGCAATATGGGTAACTCTCAACCGCCCTCTGGGCAATGAGGGATGGGCAATAAATGCTGCCTAGCCAGCAACACCCTCATCCCGTAAATGAATTAAAGAAAGATATGGCTGCAGCGTGACGAAGACTTGGAACTGTTGATAATAAGAGGTAGGATCAGTATTTTAGTGAAAGAGGATCTGCCACCAGAAGAATAGGATATAGAATCTGACGGAGCGAAGAAATATCAAGAAGCAGAAAACACTGCTCAGAATAGTTTGAGTCATTGTACAGTAATGGTAATGCAGGGTAAGGTTTAAATCAAGAAGTTATAGAGATGCATTTGGTAAAGAGCATGCAGTAAGCATGGGAGACATCAATTTACAAATAGACTGGGTAAATCGAATGAATACCAATACTGTGGCAGAACAATTCTACGAAGCTGTTCATGGTGGTTTTCTGGAGCAATTTGTTAGGGCACAGTCTATTTTTAGATCTAGTGTTATGCAATGACAAAGGGGTATTTAATAATCCAGTTTTAATATTAACATTGTGGAATAGTGACCATAGTAGGATATAATTTTCCATTGGAAAAGTAGTAGTTAAAACTGAAATTAGGATCTCAAATCTAAACAAGGACAATTATGAAGGTATGAGCATGAGGTTGGCTGTGGTTGATTGGAATAATACATTAAAAGCATGCTAAATAGGCAATGGCTAGTATATAAAAGAATTAGTGCTGGTTTTCAAAAACCACACATTCCTTTAAGGCAGAAATACCCAAAGGAAAAGTGAGAGTCCCACAGCTAACAAATTTGAAAGATTGTGTTAGATCAAAGGCTTATAAAGTTGTTAAAGGAAGCTTTACGCCTGAGGATCAGGAAAATTTTGGAATTTAAAGGAGGATTAAAACATTGGATTTAAAAAAAAAGAATGTAAAACAGCAAGAACAGAAAATGGATTGTAAATCTTATATCTGAATAAATATGATAGCAACTTTAGAACTCTTAACGAAAGGACCGAATGAAGTATCGGTTAGTATTGGTAGAATCAATGGAAAACCAGATACTGAAAGACAAGAAAAACTTAGCTTGAGATAGAGAAAATCAATATCTTCAACAACTATTGGAACTTGAAAGAGTGAGACTTCACAATTAAGAGTTAGTTTTCAAGGCCAGAAACAAATAAATCATTAAACGGGTACTTAGGTTGAAATGGACTCAATTTTCCATGGCAGGTTTAGTTCATTTCTACCATTCAAATACCATGAATCCTATTCTGTCCAATTTATTTCATTGATAAGGCACACACTGAGGTGCCATTTCCACAAAGCGAGAGGTGAAGTGGCACAATTATAACAGAAACCTTTGAATTTCTGCTTGAAACCACACATCTACCCTTGTCTGAAGTCACTGCAATATTTGCTTTGACATAAAACAGTGCTGTTAACTTCACTGCTATTTTGACAAATCACGGGCCATTATTTTTTTTCATAAAATCAGCAGTTGTTTCCTGCTATTTAAGTATATTGTGTTTAAATGTAGAGAGAGAAATGATGCAACTGCATCACCAGCCTGAAAAAGTTGTGTGTGCTGACTTAGTCTGTAACATTCTCATTCATCTGGTATGAAATGTTTCATAAGCACAGTGTATCAGATATTTCCTGTTGAGTGCTATAATCATTTCCCCCAATTATACTTTAAAATAAAATGTAAAATTATAAATGAAACAAAATGAACTATAATCTTAAAACTCACCGGTACACGTGTAGGTGGATATTGTTTGCAAGGTGGGACTGGAGGTGGTGCACGCGGTTTTTCAACTTTTTGCTAGGATTAAAAAAAGAAAAATTTAACTTTTTGTTCTTATTTTTTCCAGAAGCTATTATTTGAAAAAAAAAAGAAATCGCAATAAATTCAGTTTTGTGCAAGTTTAGCTGTCTATGATTGTGGCCACTAGGATTCTTTACAACTTGGCTGGATTGGGGAGTTCACAGAGCCAGTGCGAATCAAGTGCTTTATCTAACAATGGACTCATGCTCACTCTCACTTTGAATCAATAAGAAGTAGTATATAATTACAGCTCTTTTTTCTAACTGTCTAAGCCACTGTTGAATCCAGGATTTAAGATATATAGACTAAAACAAATATTGAAGAAAATATTCACTTAAACACATGGTAATAGTTACCCAATAGGCTAAGACAATAATCTGACTAGGAGATAATAAACTGAGCATGAAACAAAAGCAGTTTATAACTAATATCCAAAAATATTAAACTGCCCTTTTGAAATTCCTCAAAGGAAATGTTTTATTTTTGTTTAAATAATGGTGTGAACTTTCTAGGAAATGGTTTTTGGCTTTTCAATTTTAGCATAGTGAGGATGCTGAAACCTTTAAAAATTACCTCTGGTGAAATATCATTGACCAGATATATTGACTCTTTGTTCACAGATACTGCCTGACCTGCTGAAAATATTTCCATATATTCTGGTAAAAATTATTAATGATGCAATAAGCACAGGTTTATTGCATAATAAAATCAACAATTGCTTACCCTGTATTTATAACAGAACACACATGCACTCTCACTCACACACGCACATACCTGCACAGGTTTTGCTGTAACAGTTGTAGAAAAACTCTTAAGAGGAGCTGGTTTTGGGGGCTGGAAGGAAGTAAAACAAAACAAAAACAAATCAAATCAAATCAAACTTTGATTATAGCATCTTCTGTATTGTCACAACCTTTGCTCATTAGGGTTTTATTTGACATGTCATCAGATACTGATTCTATTCTTCTTCCCTGTAATTAACTGATTTTAGATTACAGGACATATTTTTCATTTTATTAAATATGCATATTATTAACTGTCATTGTGCTGCTATTTTTCATAAAACAAAGCAGAAACAATTTAATTTTGAGGCTCAAAGATCTGTTCACCAGTCCTATAAGTCAAATAAGTGCAATAACGCCAGTGAACAGACTTAAAGTAGCCAATTAAATTGGCCCTATGATCAGTGGGTGTCAATTACAAACCAACTACATGTTTCTCGGATCAAGTTTTCCACAAGGAAATTTATTGCATTGTAAATGTCTTATTACACTCATTATTTGCTAATTGTTCCTACAGATATAATTTATTATCCATTGTGTTAATGGTATAAACTGAAAGCATGATAGAAAATCAAGACATTTATCATAAGTCCAGATTTGCAACCAGAAAGCTATAGCCATTTTTTTGGGACATACTCCCTTCAGGGTAAATAGACTAAGAAACTGAATGTTTTCTGTCCTCACTTTTGATCTAAAGGATTGAACAACATTACAATGCAGCAGGTATCTCAAGTTTTTAAAAAATATAAAGCAATCAATAAGAAGGGGCCCATCATATCTGAGCATTCCACAGACTCTCTTTCCCATTATTAAATTGCAACTATAGCACTATGCCCTTTAAGTTCAGGACAGCAAGTTTGAAGAGGGAAATCAGATCATGCTCAGTTTGTTTAAAGCTTGTAAAGTTCTAGGTGAAGAGGAAGACTGAACAAAGAAGTTTGATTAGCTTGCAACCTGCTATCCTACCCATAACCAAACCTGCTCTGTATTATCACTTGACTGCAGTCACCTCCCCACTTGACACTCACCTCTCATCCTCCAGCATGCTTTTGATGTCAGCTCCCGACTTGTGTGCAAGCTCTCGTGGCTGACCTCTCACCTTTCACTCGTCATAAAGCTCAGCTTATCAAGGGTTTGGCTGTTCGCATCCTCACTTGTACCAATCCAATTAACTTACCAACTTGTGAGGTTGTTGACTTGCTTGCCAAGCTGCCTTGTTTTCGTTCGGATGTCTGGTCACCATGCTAGGTAACGTCATCAGTGAGACCTCTAATGAAGCGATGTTGTTCTACTCCACTTGGAATTTATACTGTCTGGTCTGTGTCATCTCCGATTTTGTTCTGTATGGGTCTGTATATGGGGTCCAATTCTATATGTTTGTTGATTGCATTACGGGTTGAGAACCATGCCTCTAGGAATTCCCGTGTGTGTCCATGTTTGACTTGGGCTACTATGGTCATGTTGCCTGGTTAGACTGATGGCCTTCATTGTCGGATTACTCAGACAACGAAGGCCATCAGTTTAACTGGGTCAACGCAAGAACAAGAGAAGAAAGAGTATAGTTTCCTCTCCCTGTGAGAAAGGGAAATATTGGGGTAAGGTGGCCTTGGAGAAATACTTGCCCGCTTATCACCACCTCAGCAACTGAATGCTGGGTGAAAACGTCCATCGGAGGTTCTCTCAACTCAACAGTAACTAAAGCCTTTAAAATGATCAATTAATGGAAATTTCTTGGCCTCGACTCACTACCTCCCCAATCACCTGCCTCCTTAGCAAGAGAAAGTGGCTAGTTTCCACCTCGGAAACAAGAGTGACCTGTCTGCTATGTTTTGAAGGGGGGGCGGGGTGCAGACCCACACATCCCCACCTGGCGAGAAGGGAAAAATACTTAACTTCTGCTGCTGGATCCCCCAAAGTGCAGGCCTCAAGCAGCATACTTTGGGATCTAAAAGCTGCCGGGGTCGCAAATGTCAAGGTCTGTGATAAGATGAGAAATACACCCTCTCTCGTCTTTAGCTCTCAGAGCTGATTAATATGTAATACAGTAAGTTATAGCAGAGGTATGCGTTAGCCACCACCTGATATGATTGCCACCACAACTAGAAAACTTGAGAGAATGCAATCTTCAAAGTGAGAAAAGCATTGCTCAGCAATAAAAAAAATGTTTATTTTTCTTTCTTAGGCAGGAATATGAGAAGCTTTCTTAGATTTAGGATCAGTATTGAACATTTTGGAAGGACAACTGAAAATGTTGCAGATGTAGAAGAATGCCTGATTATATTAAATACATGTTGTAACAGTGTCATGAAAGCAGACCACAGTTAGATACATATAACAGAAGTGTTACCAGAATTAACAGGAAACAGTTGAATTTATCATGGTGATGGATTTACCTGAGGTGGTGGACGTTTGGGTATCACTGTAATCTGCGGTCGCTGATCATTGCTTGAGGCAACAAGTAATGAATGTTTTACATGCGGACTTGTGTTGCTAGAATACATTGCTTTTGATTTGGCTCGGTCTTTTCGTTCAAATGTTGGATTTGACAAACCGCATGAGCTAGATTTTGTTTGCATGGGAAAAAGAGATAAAAGTTTATGAATAACATTTGAACCCAAATTAGTCACTAATTTTAACTATCGACCATGGGGTTTGCAGTTTCATTGCAACTCTCACAGGGTGCAACAACAAGCAATTCCAACGTCTGCTACTTTCTAGCAGAGGAATTATCTATGCAATGCATACAAGTTAACATTTTAAGCATAACAGTTACCCTTTCAATTACTTTCAATGCTAGCATCACATACTACAAATTCAATAACTCCGCAATACATTTTTGTAACCAGAATTCATAATAAAGCCAGTGGGGAAAAGTACTAGATCAATATTGTTTAATATGTTAAACAGGTGGTTAGTTGGGAATTGATTGGTAATGAGGGGGTGGGGGCACGGTGGCTCATTGGTTAGAACTGTTGCCTCAGCGCCAGGAACCCGGGTCTGATTCCAGCTTGGGTGACTGTGCAGTTTGCACTTTCTCTCCATGTCTGTGTAGGTTTCCTCCCACAGTCACAAAGATGTACAGGTTAGGTGGATTCACCATGCTATATTGTCCTGTAGTGTCCAGGGATATGCAAGTTGGGTCAGTTAGTCACAGTAAATATAGGGTCTGGGTAGGATGCTGTTGGGAGGCTCAGTGCAGGCTCTATGGGCCATTGAGTCTGTAGGGATTCTGTGAGGTGTGGTTGATTATCTACAAATTCTAAATACAAAAAGAATGAATAACAGAAAACACTCTTCAGCAAGCATTTTCAATATGCATTTGCATTTGTAATTTTGACCTTTTATCATTTAATTAATAAATATAAAAAAAGAAAAGCAGAGTGTGAGAGTGTATTTTATCTTTGGTTGCTACATATTAATCAACTAACACAAGGGTGAATTGAACAGGTGAAAACATTATTCTTTAGCACCATAAAGCACTAATAAAAGCTGCAGTGATGCAGTGGTACAGTCCCTACCTCTGGGCCAGAGATTTTGGGTTTAAGTCACAACTGCTCTAGCTGTGTGTCATCACATTTGAACTGGTTGATTAAAATACTTGAAAAACACTCAGAAAAACACTTAAAAACACAACACTACAAGGAGAGAGAAGTTGCGACTGTGATCAGCTGAACCAACTGTATATAACCACAGCAGGCCAGCAAATGATGAGGGAAAACTACCAGTAAAGAGCAGTTCCTACATCCACAGATGTATCCTCACCCCATGGACTGCAGCAGTTTAAGGCAGCAGCTCATCTCCACCTTCACAGCTTGTTTTCTAGCACACAACTCCAGCAAGGCATGACATCAGTGATCTAGACAAAATTCTTGGTCCTTGCTGACAGAATACGAGAACATGCAACTCTACTTTAAACAACTGGCCATAGAATTAGAAACACAAAAAGAATTTTTTTTGTTTGCTAAAACGGAAGCGAACTTGGTGAATAAAGTGGTGATTCATGTGTAACATGAAAGTGTCAAAATTAGTTACTTTTTCCTCAGTGTAGCATTTTAAAACAGTTGCATTAGGATTACTTTGTAGATGATTCAAACTCAATCCTGATGAGTCAAAATTCAAATGTTGCATCATTTCTGATTTAGTTAACTTGTATGCACTTGTAAAAGTATTCATGATAATGGAAATCTGCTACTACTTATACACTTTTTCTCTCAATTGCCTGAAAGGTAGGACAAATCCTTGTTTTAACAACATTCAGGTAACTTTTGAGCTTAAAACTGAGAACTATTTTGAGATGTGCACTTGCAACAACAGCATAAATAAAAGCAAAACACTGCAGATACTGGAGAAACTCAACAAGACTGGCAGCATCTGTAGAAAGGGAAACACAGTTAATGTTGATTTTGTAACATCAGACCTGCTGACTTTCTCCAGCATTTTCTGTTTTTATTGAAACAATAAAACCTTTGATTCACACCAACATTGTCATGTCTAAAAAAATAGTGCAATGCCAGTAACAGTGACTGAAGTAGGGAAAACACTGGTTCCCATTCAATACTCACATTTTGCTTGTATGGTTCTTCATCAAGCATTTTTTATAATACAGAAGTGCACCGCTTATTAGGAAAAGTAAAATGATGAAGGGAAGGACCACTGAGAGAATAATGATTGTGGCAGCATTTCCTAGTAAAAAGTAAAGTATAAATTAATTCATTTCTGCAAGTACACAACACTGTCCTTTGGGCTGTACAAACAGAAGGCAGAGCTAAACCCTTAAAATAACTGTCTCACAAAACCTGGAAACACTCAAAAATCACTGGATTTTTCTCAGAAACTACAAAAGAAATTTGTTAACTCAACTCCTCACATTATCGATTGGTACAACATTGAGAGAAATTGCAAGACTGAACTAATGTTCTTCTGATCTCATTCAAAATGTGAGGACAGGGACAGTACATTCACACACATGGAAGGGAACAAGGGGGAAGGATATGGCATAGCAAAATGGAGAATAGCATGCCATCTTCATACACCACTAGCTCAAAAGAAGCTTGGACCCCATCCAAAGGATTGGTCATGGCTTCATATGCAAAAGTTGTCATAGAAAACAGTCACGAGGCTCAGCTATGCGTACTGAACAAGGCACTGAGCGGAAATGAGGCTGTTTCTGTCAGGCTTGTCATAATATAGCATTCATGCCAGTTATGCAGAAATGCACATCAGCAGCAAACATAATTAGGGTGAATCTTCAAGTAAATTCCAAGAAACTCACATTTGGAACTAAACGTAGTTTTTAAATCTTTTTAGGGTTAAATCAATCAAATTATTACACAAATGTCTTTGGGGAAAAAATGGGAAGCGTGTCTTGTGACTATTGTGAATATTGAAAGAAACTAAAAGTTATACTAAAATTCTATGCAGATGTGGAAATGCTAAAATAGTAACTGAGCTTTTTGGATTGGGTGAAACTGAACATTTTTGAACAGTTATATTCTTTAGCCTAAAATGCATCATGTGTTGTGGAATGATTATCATCGAATCAGAGAGGAGGACCATTCAGCCCATCATGTCCATTCTGGCTCTCTGGACTAACCAAAACTAAAAGTACAAGAGTCACCTCATTTCTGTAAGGCTGCTTGGATTCTTACCTGTGGATAAGCTACCATTTCGTGTAAGACAATACGGTGGTGCCCAACCTGAATCACAGTGACATTCTCTCTTGTGATTACAAACCTGAAAAATAATTTAGAATATTAGCAACAACTTCACCTGAAATGGAATAAATTTACAAATGTGTTACATAGTATTAAGTGTAGTTTCTGAATGCCCTTTCCCTAAAATGTCCTGCAAATTTATCTCCTTTAAGTGCATGTTGAACTTACTCTTGAATACTACTATTAAATTTGCTTCTACTCAGTTCTACATCAAAAACTCATGTAATATAAAACCTGACTCAGAATGATTGCCAACAGGAGTCTATTCAGTCCAGTCATGCCTGTGCTGGCTCTCTGCAAGAGCAGCTACTCCCAGTCCCCAGCCCTTTGCCATAGTCCACTCTCCCGCCTCTGGGCATTTTGACAACTATCTTAAAGTGCTGGCACTGGTGCCTTGTTTGCCAATACTCCTGCCTTGGAAATAGGTTTCTCCTTCCTTAAAATATAAAAACTCTTAATAGTTTTGAAGACCTCAATTAAATCTCCCATTATGCCATTAATGCTAATAGGTAGTTTGCATCAAGAAAAAGAAGAATTCTGCATGAGCCATACCCCATGATTATTACATTTTCCTGAACAGTTTCTTGATCCATAAAGTACAACGCTCTGGCAAAAACCACGGTAGCAAACCTGGGAAAAAAATAAATACAATGTATCATAGGTGCACCTTAATTTTAGGTAGTCGGCTGTTTAAGATTATAATGTAGCAGTAACCATATTGCATTTATATTATTGAAACATTGCTTTCTCAAATAAAGAACCTGCATTTATGTAAACCTTTATGATCTCCTCAGAACCTTCCAAAGGACAACTCTTAAATTGCAATCACTCTAGTTGTGAAGGCAAAAACAGCAACCAATTTTTAGGCGGCAAGCTGCCACAATGAATTTATAGACCGACAGACCCAGACAGTCAGTTAAATTACTTCCACTGGTGTTGGAATGAAAGAGGAATTTTGATTAAGACACTGTTCTTCTTCAAATTGTCCCATGAGCAAACAGTCTTTTAAACCAAGATTGTCTCAGAAAGAAGGTACATTGGAATGCAGTGACCATCCTTAGCTCGCCAGTCTAATTTGTAGGACTGTTGAAATCCAATTTCAATAGATCCTGTCTGTTCAGGTGCAAGGATTGCGCCCAGATGCCAGTTTTCACCAGCAGACTGGTCCTATACTATCTCTACCAAACAAAATTTAATGATTTTCCATGGTAGTTCCTGCCATTATTTCTTACCATCCCATCTCCACATTTTGTTCCTGAAGGAACCAGCCCAGGGTCATTCGTTGAATCACTCCTTTCATTTAATGTTGCAATTCTGCATAATTTGTTCCAGGATAGTTCCACTTCATACATTGCTTGAGTGATTGGAAATTTGTTTCCTCCAATGCAATGCATTTTACCACATTTAACATCCCTGTAAAAGGAATAAATCCATCATGGAGAATTGAAAAGAACGATACTCTCCAGACCAAGCTCTAAAAGTCCACATAATCAATACCTTGAAGCTACATGGTTTCCAAAAACAAATTCATGTAATTTCTAAATATTTACACAGCTTTAACATGATTTTCCTCGATGTTTCATTGAAAGCTAGACATTCCTAATGAGATTTGTAGTGCAATCCTCTTACAGTAACTGAAATACTTGAATTCTTTGTGTTACGATAAATGCAAGACTCTCAGAAATGTAGAGACAGGGTTAATTACACACTTATTTTAAAATTAGTCCAACTAGTCCATGCCAAACATAATCCCAAACTAAACTAGTCCCATCCGCCTGCTCCTGGTCCTTGTCCTTCCAAACCTTTCCTACACATATAGCCATCCAAATTCCCAACCTTTCAGCATCAAGGCACCCTTCAATGAGACAAAAAAAAAACACACCCACTTTTATTTAGCTGAATTGATATCAATGTTCATGTACACGCAGTACTGAATTACCACAAGTGTGGTATCAGGAGGTTAGGGACATGCAGCTCTGGAGGCTTGTAGATGTACAGTCAACGGGGTGCCTGATGTCATCAGATACTGTCTTCAATAATAGACCCGGAGGCTCTGGAGGAGATCGAAAGCACGGACACAATCTCGATGCTCAGATAAAGTGGCAGGGCTTCCCAAAAATTTCACGCACACTTCTCACTTTGTCATAATACAGCATACCATATGAAATACACTGTTGTAGTGAACTGGAGGCTGAGTCTGTAGGGTTCCTGAAGATGTCCTCTCTTACCATCCCTCATTCATAGTTATGTTTAACAAAGTGTGTTAATGTTCACTTCTAAGTGTGTAGACCTCATCTTACTTAATGGCTAGTGATGACCTGACCTACAGAAACAGAGGCAAGCAGCAAGGAGTGCCTATACTGAAGGCCAGAAGCAGCACAGGGCTATTGAAGCAGGGTGAGGCTGGCCCAGCAATCCAAGCCCAGAAATGGGAGCTATACCTGAAGAGAAACTCAGTGGTGACAGGAGGGAATTGGTGATGGTCTTCCAGGCCTTCTTGGGCCACAGAGGGGGAATACCCACATGAAAGCTGAAAAATCATGTGGAAATCCCACAGCAAGCAACAAAAAAAAAATCAATCAGTCTGCCACAGTGAGTAATAAATTCCTATTGATAAGAAGTCTTTACCGAAAGGGATGATGCCACAAGGTAGAAAACCCACAGTGATAAGGAACTCTTTATTCTTTCATAAGATAAGAGCATTGCTCACAAAGCTAACATTTTATTGCCCCTCTCTAATTGCCCTCAAACTGAGTTGCTTGCTGGGCCATTTCAGAGGACAGTTAAGAGTCGACCACATTGCTCTGTGGGTCTGGAGTCACATGTAGGCCAGGCTGGGTAAGGCCATCAGATTTCCTCCCCTAAAAGGGCATTAGTGAACCAGATAAATTTTTGTGACAGTAATTTCATGGTCACCTTTAGGCTTTTAATTCCAGATTTAGGCCAGGCCAGACCAGACCAGACCAGGTAAGGATGGCAAAATTTCCTTCCCTTTGGGCCCGTGAGAACCAATGAATTTTTATGACAATTGACAATGGTTTCATGGTTACCATCAGAGCTGTTTTCAAAATAAAAATCCAGATTTATTTAATTGAATTCAAATTCCATCCTCTGTCCTGGTGCAACCTGAACCCATGTCCCCAGAGCATTTGACTGGATCTCTGGATTACTGTACAATATCACTGCCTCCCCAAGAATATTAATATTAAAGCAACATACATAATCCATGTAGAAAAAGTCTTGTCTTTACTCTCTGGGCCCTAACCAGACCATACGTTGGATAAACTGGTACAATGATTTAGCATTTAGTCTAATGCTTCAAGCTTTGATAAGGTGGCAGATAGAGACCGGGCCAAAATATTGTTGTATTCGATCATTGGCAGTGCAAATGCTACTGTCACCAGAAGAAATTGCAACAATGATGTAATTAAAACCTTTGACTTCTATTTCAGTTTATGAAATACTGACCATTATAGATCAGGCAGAGATTAATTGGCTCAATCAGGAGTCAGTGGGAAGTTATTTTTTGTTTTATCCAAGATGTACATCACCTCATGGATAATTGCCAATATGGAACCTTGAAAGAAGAATTCATATAGACTTGCATCATAATAGGGTATAATATGAAGCCCTTGCAGATTTTTTTGCTTTAAAAACATTTAAAGACAACCTTACCACAGGCAGTGCAGTTCATCAGACAGGTTGAACCTGGCGAGCAGAGCAGAGTCCTTGTTAGAAGGCACAGAGTTGCCCTGCAGTCAGTGTACTGACTCCAACTCAGTTAACCAGTGCACTACTAATGCCCCCAGGAAGACAACTGCCACAAGAAGAGAGGGCACTGCTCCTGCCATTGCTTCATATCCATATTGTGTTGGGAAAGTTCCACGGTAACTCTAAGCGCAGCCTGCAATACTGAATGCCACATATGCCAGAAGATTGGCATACCACCTGAAAATGACCTAAGCAACAATAGGATATTTCAACCTACAGCCAGGAAATTTTAAAATCAGACTAATCTACTCTGCAGCTGTCCAAGAAGTAAATGCTACTGAGGACTAATAAGCATTCTTATTGGGAGATGTAGTTTAAAAAGATAAATACTTAATAAAAAGCTATCCCAGAGAAAATGATATGCTTTGATCCAAACTGGATCATTCCCTTTATTAAATGTTCAGAAATTGTTCATCTACAGAAAAGCGAAGGCTGTGATTGAGCCTTATTGGCAATATTTAGACACACCCAAGGCTTCTTTCAGCAAAAAGAGGAAGCAGACTGAACTAAAGAGCTTTTGGATAGGGAGAATGCCTTGACAAAGCTTAAAGTTGAATCTCAAAAGAAGCTTGAACAAATTAAAGTTCGATAAGAATTTGAGCTACCTTAAAGCGTCTGCTGACCTAAAAGCTATTAACAGTCACAATGCAATCGAGCCTTGAAGACCAAAAGGGGGAAGGTTACAGAAGATTTCCAAGAAAACTGTAAAGAGACACCAGTTTTCTCACAATTTGACATAACAAACACAGATACACTGTGACCCCTCTGACCCCTCCATGGCTTTTATAGACCCAATGTCAACTTAATGTCAACCCATGCCATCGATAGGCTACCTTATACTACAATGCCCATTACCCAGTATACATCACGTTCAGGTCTCAAGATTCAGACTGTGATTGAATCAAGTTCCACTTGAAGCTATCGATAGGATTGTGAAATGAAATGTGCCCCATGATGAGAATGAAAGATTTGTAAATTCAGTCATGGAGCAGTAATCTTGTAATGATAACCCTCAAACTTATGTCATCAGAGTGAAGGAGCAAGTAGCAAACCAGTTTTAAAAACGTTGACAGATTTTTTTTGCAACAGACCCAATGAGCTTTCTGGTCACGATGAAATGTGATTTTTAAAAGATATTTGTACCTATTTTTAATAATTCCAAAGGGCACCTTGCCTCTCCCAAATGTGTGGACCACATCCAAAATGGTACTTTACTCCTCAAAAGGAAGTTAGCAGCTTTAGGCCTTTTCCAGTAGGTCATAAAATGCACAAATTGTGTTTTGGACATCCCACAAATGGAACTCAGACCTTACTGCCATAGCTGGCTTTGTGAACCACAGATGAGTAAATAGGAAGCCACGCCCATTCTTTCACACTATCACAGGAACAATAGGTGCTGTGTTCTGGGGTTGTGGGGTTGTTCCTCACAAGCTACTAGGGCTAATTCTGCAAGGATAGACAGGCTGTTCATCTTTAAGAAAATACAGGTTTAAAAATCAGTTTGAGGCCACTCAGCATCATTGACTACAACATAATAAAATGCTCTGAGGAGCTTCAGAGCAGAGTTATCAGTTAAAATTTAAACAGAACCACAAAGTGTTTAGGACCAGTAACAAAGAGCTTGGTCAAAAGGGATATCTGCTGTCACTAACTTAAAACAGAGGAGAGGCAGCTGGCACATATTTATCAATGGCTCCAAAAACAAAGTTGTTGTACTCACTTGCTCCGGCAAGCGTCATAACCACTTCCAGCTGCTTTGCAATGACCATATTTATCTCCTCTCATGTTCTGTTGAAAGCAGTCATCGTGTGCCACCATAGCACCTGTACAGAGAACATCAGAGAACCTATTACTCTCAGCTAATCTGCTGAGTTTAATCAATGTCTCTTTGGAAATAAATGACAGGTAGCACCTACTGATGTGTATGCAAAGCAGGAAATAATCATGTGAATATTACGAACCATGGGTATAAAAGATAATTCCCAAATTATATAATAGAGTGTTAGCTCCATCTTAAGAGCATCAGCATCAGGTTGTATGCATCCTCAGTTGAGGTTGGTGCTGAGGTGGATGTATCCTGCTGACATTGGGGATGCATCCATTTCTCACTGTTTTATGTCAATGCCATTGTTAATTTGGTTCCAAACTAATTATACACAAGGGCTGGAGCCAATCGATTCCAATGGCTGGAATGTCAGAGTGTAGGGAAAGCATGGGGCTTTTTCAGCATTTTCAATGAAGCTACAAAGCAGGACAAATTGAAGTATGTTGTATGTTGTATGTTTCTGCAGAGTGTTGGTTTTAGCAATTTACCAAATTCATCTCTTCAACTTTCCTACTGCATCATCATTTGAATTCTCCTAAGAGCTTTTACTGTGTTCAATCACACCAGAAATGCATGGATACATACATCTGGAAAAAGAATGACCCCCAGTGATCAGTGGGCACTCATCAGGAAAGGACTGACAGGCTTGAGAAAAGGTGGTTGTGACAGACCTGGTCAAGTTCTGTAAAACGATGAAAAGTTTTAAGAGAGAGGGGGGAGGAAGGATTCCTCTTTTGGGAACAAATTAACCAAAATCTAACGATACAAGATAGTCACCGTGAAATCCTGCTGGATTTCACAAGAAATTATTTCACCTAAAAGTGGCAAGAACGTGGAATCTACTACATCAGGAGTGATTGAAGTAAGCGGAATAATGCATTTAAAGAAAAGTCAGAGAGGAATGAGGGACAATCGATAGTTGCAATGGATGAATTCAATGAGGAAAGATAGATCTTTGAATCCAGAATAAACACTGGATGGTTTGTGTCGCATGGCCTGTACCTTTGCTGTACATGCTATATAATCCCTTTTAATTCTATTAGCAACATTCAAGGCTCTTCAATTTCATTAATTGAGCATTCCTCTTTCTTTTTGAATTGGTCTTTGCAGTTTTCAGAACGTATACATCTTCCCACTTCTCAGTATTATTAACAAGATGATTCAATCATATCACATTGATGATTTACTTTCAAATTTCAACATGTTAATATCAAATTGGATGTACTTAATATGGTACAGTATGGTAAACCTGGCAAGAGGAACAGTATTGTTGTGGAGCTTTAAGTGCCATGGAAAAAGAAATTGCAAATTAATTTTGGTCCTTAACTTGTTCTTAAATAAGCAGATTGCATTCTAAAGTGAATTATAAATTACAGCACTATATTGAAAAACAGTGGGCTGAATATAACTGTATTGTACCGACTTCATTGGCAATGGTTTCTCACAGAATTTACCTCTGTGTTTAGCAGAAGTAGTTAATATAAAATACAAAAACCATTTTAAATGACTAAAAATATTCTTTAAAAATGTTAAAAGTTGGATTGTTTCCTTTTTGGAATTTGATAATTTAAAATAAGGACACAAACAAATGCATCATGTGGTACAGTTCAAGTTTATAACAGCCAAGTTGAAGACTCAGCTATTGAGATCCAGAGCAGACTATTCTCCAAACTGAAGCTATCTGAAAAATGATTTAATATGTATCTATTTCAAAGCTAAAACATGAAAATGATAATAGAATAGGGAGGCTGGAACATGATTAATCCCAGTTGGGGTGGAAGATGCTAGGCATAATGAGACAGTTAACATTTTGGTGATTAAGTGAGTGAATTCTTTGTAGAAAGTACCTGTTCCCCATAGAGTAACACAATGCTGTTGATGAGTAGGGCATTGTCCATTGTAGCAGTAACCTTCCCCATTGCTGCAGGGAGAACCATTCATTTTGAAGGCATCTTCTGGACACTCTGCACTCTCACCATTGCAGTAGTCAGGTAAATCACAGTCATGCTGTGCAGACCTACATATTTGTCCTGCTGTCTTAATCTGAATTAAAACAAACAGATGACCTGAAGCATCAATTCCCAAAATGACAGAGTTAAATAAATAATTGAAGGTGATAAATGAGGTGTGGTCACCTTGGCACACAATGCAGATTACAAAACCTGAATAAGTAGAAACTTCTGACTTGCAAATGATTCACATAAACATGGATCAACAAACAACAGACTAAAGCTATTCATCTTGCATCAAAAGTACATCGTCATCCATACTAACAAAACTGCACTAGGTTGCCAGTTTTAAATTCAAAGAATAACTTTAATGCATTTGCTTTTTTTAACTGCCTGATTTTACTGTTCCATGAAATATTTTATACTTGCCAATATGTAACTAAACAGAAACATGAGCATTAGAACAAACTTGTTTAAAAAAATTGAACTATTTGTGCCCAGAACACCATCGCAAACTCTTAGCAAAATTGGTTGAAGAGTCAAATCTAAAATACACAGAGGAGACAATTATTTCCAATTGTGCCGTGCAATCTTGAACAGCCATCCGAACAAGCAAAAGGAGTCATGGGTTAACTGCTCATCAAGATCAAGGCTTCCCCAACTCCCTCAATGTGGCACCACAGCGCCAGTCTGGATTACAACCTCAAATGTATGGACTGTGATTAACAAAAGATAAATAGGGGTCACTGGAATTTGTACCTTGCAATTCTGGCAGCAAGCTCCAGCAGCACACTCCGCTCCCTCCTTGAATTTGCAGGTTGTAGCATTACAACAAGGATTGGTACATTCCTACAAGGGCAAACACCAATCAGTATTACACTCTGTTGTGGACATTATTAATTTCAACAAATCCTTAAATTATTACTGTACTTTCAAACAATGTACATTATTACTATGTGTCACTTCAAATCAGAAGTCAATGAAAAATGACAGGTGGAGCAAAATTTAAAAGTAAATAAAAAATAATACAGCAGTAGTTCCAAATGGATTGTAAAAAGATCATTATGGCATCGACATGGAGCTCTATTACTCAAAGACATAGGCAGCAGATGCACAGGAATACATCATCTGAAATTTCTCTGAGCCACATGCCATCTTGACAGGAGTCTAATTCCTTCAGTGTCACTGGTTCAATATCCTAAAACTGCCTTCTTAAAGCACTGCGCGTGCCTCCTTACCACGGACTGCAGTGGCTCGAGAAGGCAGCTCACCATCTTCTCCTGAACAATTAGGAATGGGCCACAAATGCTGGCCTAGTTTAGCAACACACACATCCCTTGAAAAAAATAAATTTTACAAAAAGCAGGAAACGGGCTTGTTATGAATCAACAGCTAACTTTTATTACACCCGATTATCTATCCATCAAAGCTCTTGTAACAAGGCAGTCAAATTCCTTTTGGAGACATGGTTTTCATCATTTCAATTTGATATTACATAGGTTTTAGCATATTTTCCAAGTCAAATACACACCAGGCTGCTAATTTACGAATGAGGCAGCTTCACACAGCTGACACAGACCAGTTTCACCTCCATAATACAACATTTATCTATTTTCACAGAAAATTTAGAAGAAGCATAGTATCATAGAAACACACAATCTTCTGGGTGGATATTCCCACTGCAGAGTCTCAGCAACCAGGAGAAACAACCTAGTGAAAATCTCCAAGAGCTCAACTCTGGTTTCCTTGTTCCTTAATATTAGTTGATGGAAAATAGGGAATAACAGCCAGTGATTTCCTCAGTATCACTCCTTGGTAGCAGATTTCTGACCAGATGCATGCACTCTGAAAATGAGGCCTTTATTCTCTCAATATTCAATTGATTTCTCAATTGATAGTACAGTAATTGGCATATACAACATTCAGATAAGAATAATGATCTGGAAACGATGAATCATTAAGCAAGGGAAGTGGGTAGCTGTGAGAAAATTAGCTCAGGCTGACCGCAAGTCCATTAAGGGGCTGTGTATTTTGCACTTGGTTTGTACATGTATTATACATGTCATTGTTTCAAACTGAACAGGAACTTGATGGCAGCAATAAATACTCCTTTACACAGTTTTTCTATGAATTCTTATACAGTACCAAGTAACTGGAAAGAACTTGAGGGAAACTGCAGCTGCAGATCTCTGTTGCTGGGCTAATATCCTACTCTGGGAGTCATTCAGTTTAGCTAAAATTAAGAACATGGAAAACTCTTCCTGGAGTAAATGGAGAAACAACTTGACATTATCTAGAGTCATAGTCATACAGTCATATAGCACAGAAACACAGACCTTTTGGTCCAACCAGTCCATGCCAAACATAATCCCAAACTAAACTAGTCCCACCTGCCTGCTGCTGGCCCATATCCCTCCAAACCTTTCCTATTCATATACTTATCCAAATGTCTTTCAAACATTGTAACTGCATCCACCACTTCCACAGGAAGTTCATTCTACACACGAACCACCCTGTGTAAAAAAATTTGCCCCTCAAGTTTTTTTTTTAATTTCTCTCCTCTCACTTTAAAAATATGCCCCCTCGTCATGAAATACTCCATCCTAGGAAAAAGGCACCTACCATTAACCCTTCATAATTTTATAAACCTTTATCAGGTCACCTCTCAATCTCCTACACTTCAGTGACAAAAGTCCCAGCCTATCTTTATAACTCAAA